ATCACAAATCGCACCCGAAAAAAGGACAAGCTACTTCTACTGTAGCAGCTTCATCAGGTGGACCAGCAGGTGGAGGTAGAGGAGCAGGAGATCCCGGTGGTCCCTGGCAGGCAGCCGGCATCAGAAACGAATGAGCTTGTGTGAGCGGGAACGTCCAGAGTTTATGTCAGAGTATGTACTAAAGATAATTACTGTAAATTATGTTTGAATCCAACAGATTCTACAGTAAGAGATTCTTTTTGAATCTGTTTAAATCGAACATATGAAACCATCTCACAGTACACCAAAATCAAGGCAAGCTGCTGGATCCGTGGCAACAGGAGGCTCAGCAGCCGGAGATGAGAGAGGAAGCACCAGATCTGAAGCTGATGGTTCAGGCCATACCTCAGACAAGCTAGATTCATCAAACTTCTCTCTAAAATTAAAAACCTTCCCAAAAAATAGATTTTGTCTCTATAAAAAAACATACATAAACCATCATAAACCTACATAACATTCAAGTATATTTCAATACCACCAAAGAAAAGTAACTGTGGATGACATGGGATGACTATAGATGACTGGGGAATATTGAGGAATAGAACAACAAGATACAACATGTAAACAATTGTAAACATTAAGATTTTACAAGATATGATCAAATCAAATTTGGATTTTAGAGTGGGACATTGTTTGATTTCTAATGGTTTTCAATTCTAGAGTGGACACATGTGCAAACAATGAACAAATAATCAAATTCAACCCCTTCCGTTCTGTCCCAGATCAAGCTAGCATATTCCAGCTGCGTGCAATTGGTTTCTTCCAGAAATCCACACAGGTGACAAGGCTTTGAGGCAGCAAGACACAAATATCAGATGGTCATGGTCACTGACCTCTGGAGGAACATGCGTCTGTACAGCTCTCTATCCATGCCTCGGAACTACAGTAGGGATTTTTTCTTACCACCACCAGGACATGGCTGGCGTAAATGGCGCAGGCTCAAAAGCTATCACCCAATCAGTGATGGCATGTGATGGCCGTCTGCTTTGTACTGTGCAAGCCATGACTTAAATACGGCTTTGCAAAAGTGGTATGGATAATAGGCTGACGATGCTAGGTCCTTCCCGCCACTCCATCCAGCAGTTCCGTCAACCTTCACACACTTTGTGTAGTAAACCTTTGGCGTGCGCCGACGTTGATTTCTCTTTTGAAGTCTGTCCTAAGCACAGTGGTTATGCTCTTGGCCAAATATGGCCAAAAGATGCCAAAAGACACCAAATGACAACCATGGTCAAACAATGATACAATAATCTGAACATATGCAAACAAAATGACACAAACACCAAAAAACATCCCTGAACATGTCCAGGATTCATTGAACCTCTTCCTATCGGCTTTGGTCATGGTGCGCGCCAACTCACAAAATGCATCGACATTGGAGAGTAAATGGACTGGCTTTTGCAAATCAGCACCGAAAAAGGCCAACCATGTTAGTGTAACAAACCTGGGTTGATCAAACAAAATATATGAAAACGGTTGAAAACAATATGAAAAAAGCAAAATATTGAACAAACACATGCTGTATGAAACCAATTGAAACCAGCGCATGAACCAATACAAACCAAGGACCAATCCGGCAGCAGCTGTCAAGTTTACCATAAACGGCATTTTGAAGCCCCACGACTGAGAAGGCTGCTCCAGAGCAATGTAAATTTGGCGGTTTGCCTGAACCACCAAATGCAAGCATTCAACCTCAGATGATTTCAAGTAGATTCCATAAAACAAGCAAGCAATGTCATAAACAAAATCATAATATTTCAAAATAGATCAACATAGAAAAGATTATGGGCCAACATTCAAACACAATCCCAAGTACCATGTTGCGCCAAATGCGATTCGCCAGGCGAACAGTGAACTGACCTTCGTCACCCAGGAGTCTCCACGTCTGCAGGCGGTGGATAGAAGATGATGCGCCCACCATCAAGGAGCAACTAGGGCACAAAATGCTAAACCACCTGGACGCAGCCTCCGGGCATTGGAGACATTTGGACACAAAGTTGATCAAAGGCAAAAGAAGGACATACCAAAACACAATCCAAAACATACCCAAAATAGTTGTAAATTGTTATAAACATATAATACAATAATGAAGTAGGCCGAGGCTCGATAGAAGTAGGTGCACGAGGTGTACACAGCCGAGTTTTGTGACCATATCATGGGTTGGAGACAGTTTCACGTCAAAAGCTGTGCTCTCAAATCCTTCACGTTGCCATTGCTTCCTCAGTGGTAGTGTTGACGTATGGTGATGACAAAGTTTATGTCATAATATGTCATAATACAAAATGGCAAAGAGATGCAGAGAGCATCAAAGAATATCAAAGAGCTATTAAAAAATGTTAAAAACGCGCGCATGTCTTATATCAAGTGGCGTCAAGCCCTGACTGGCAGAAAAACACGTCAACGAGATGGAGTGTTCTGGTACCTCGAAAAAGACTGACGAGCCCCTCAAAGTCTGCACGGTAGTTTTCCATCTGGAACCACCTAAGCTCCCAACCAGCTCTTCAGAAACACCAAAATGTAGTCGTTTTCACAAAAAATGCAAAACATAAGAGAAATAACAGAACTATCCACTATAAAATTGAAATCTATTCTAAAACATCCTAAAACCAAATATAAACAATCATAAACACATCAAAATACAACAAACATGTTGTATCAATTTGTGTCATATACGTATCATATTGTAAATATGTTTGATTTTATAGAGTACCCAAAGCAAAGTATAAACTATATGTTGATTTTATAATGTTGCATTCTTTCAGCACCTTGGTGGTTTCAATTTTAGAGAAGAGTGACACATGATATTTTCATATCAGCAATAGCTATCTATTGATATCTAGTGTATGCTATTGTGAAATAATACGAAATATATTATATTGAAATGTTGTGAAAACACTTCTCCCATCTTATCCCGTCTTATCATATCTTATCCCCAAAATTACCCAAAGTATCCCAGTGGGAAAAAATAGAAGACAAAAAAAATCAAAAGAAAAGGAACTCGAGCAATCTGGGACACTCATTCTCTGGCACCGTGCATGTCGTATCTGCTGCCAGATCTGGCAAACCTCCTCCCATGGAAGCACACAAATCCACCAGCAGCAGCAGGACCACACGCAAAAACCACATTGCTTTCGGGTCCACACACTGGTGAATCTAGAGCGGGCTGAAGGGGGTTGCCACAAACGCTGCGAAGAATCTCAAGATATCTCAAGATGATGTTCATCGCATGTCATGATAGGTATTGGATGGTATTGGATACGGTTGGATTTTCTTGAATTGTATGTTTTCCAATAACTTACGCATTGGCCTCCAACATGTCAAGCCCATGAAGCATTCTTTTTAAACAAAACCCAATTTGAATGTAATTGAATTATTTTGAATTAGTTTTAAATAGTTTTAATATGTTTTCATCATAACTCCCAGCCCTCCCCTGCGCACACATTCATCCAAGAGACACTGCCGTCCTTGAATACTGGGGCAGCCTTCGATATCACCAGTGTCCACGCCCACAGCTGCGTCTTCCTTCCACAAATTGCCAAAACATCAAAGTTCTGGACAGCAAATACATGTAAACATAATACAAAAATCAAAACAATAGGACACTCTAGGACTCTAGTTTACCCAATCCACCTTGGGTTCTCTATTTGATCCATCCTTGGCTCTCTGTTCTGCTAACTCGTGCTAATTTTATCTCACTTCCTCTGATTTCGCTAATTTAGCTGAGACACGGATCCCAATAGACGTGATGATGCGAGGGACGATTGTTTGCACCACGCATTGCGCATCGTGCAACTTGGCTTCCAAGGACTGACAACTCGTGATATCTCATCAATCAAACTGCTGAAAAATATTCACAACATATGAAAACAAGTGAACACAATGGAAATATGATAATTTTTTGACTCTTGAGTGATCTTGAATGATATTCTTTGGAAACTATCCAAAGCAAATCAATGCAATATAGGCACTGTATCTTCCTCTTCGGCCGTCCCACTTTGGTTGCTCCACGTCAGCTGTGCACATCCCGATTGCACAATACTTTGGAGCGCCAGGCGGAATTGACGACATTGTGAAGAGATGATGTCACAAGGAACGCATATGATATCATATGATAACACACATGATGTTCTATATTTTCTATTAGTTTATTATGGGTTATTATGTGTTATCATGGGTTATCCCACCCAATCTATCCTAATCTTATCTAATCTTACTTATTATTGCTATTTCTTGCCTGCAAATTTCATTTCTTATCATTCCTTGATCTTGACAGGTGAGCATCAAAAAAACAACGGAAGGAACGAGCGCTCTATAGAATCCAAATCAGTGTCTTGACATTGAAAATATTCACTAAACAATTCAAAACCAAGCTTGTGAAGTATGTGAACCCATTCACTAAAAGATTCACCATGAAGCCTGGCTCCACCTGTAGTTGACTCTATATTTCAAATCTCGAACCCTCGACAAAAAAAATCTCTAAAATGAAACTTTTCATGTTAACTTTTTTCTGCTCGACATAAAACAAATTACTCTAAAAGTGAAGAAGTTACTCACCTATATCCCATCAAAAATAGACTGCATTTTATAGACAAAAGTTTTTTACCTAAAATGGTAGCAAATCCAGGGCTTAAGCCCCTCATTCTAGAGTGAGAAATGCAAGGGGGATGTTTTCCATAACGAGATCTGCCCTGGGGAGACATCCAGCTCTTAGACCTGCGGCAATCCCATGGCAACAATACGTCAGAACCTTGACCAAACCCTCATGCTTTTCTTTGGACACCTTGCCTGTACTCCAGCCTTCGATTTTGAAAGCATGGTTGGTATGAGGCTTGAAATCGGCTTCTCTCCAAGTGTCGAGTCTCAGGAATATTATTCAATAATACTCAAACACCATGCTAGGCATTCGTGTCTGGGATGCCAAGCGGGGATGGGGGGGTTGTTGACCCCCGGTCGGTCGGCTCCTGGTCCAAGCGCCGCCGCAGCCCCGGGGAACGAGCGAAGCGTTGGGCTAAGTGGAGCTGACGCCCAAGCAAAGCTCCCCGCAAGTCCTGAACCCGTGAAACGTCCAGCGTTCAGCGAAGGTCCAACAGCTAGGCACGTTGTTATCTTGTGATTTAGCTGGAAGGTATGGTTGCGATGCAAAGCGCCGAAACTTCATTCCTTCCAGAACGTCTATGAGCAAGAAACTGCAGAACAACAAAATAACAATCCTGGTGCCTCTGACCAGCACCGCTGGTTAAAAGAAACATGACTGACAAACCCCAGATCTCGAGATCTAAAAAGGGGTTTGGACCTTGTGCAAGTGAGAATTCCAGGAGGGAGGGTAACGTCGAAGGTCTTGAAGAAGCTGCTGCCACATTGCTTCCTGTCAGACTGGCGCGAACTGGCGCGAACTGGCAGTAACTGGGCGAGTTTCATGAAGCCCTCACGATGTGAATGCTCCAATGCATCATCAAAAGGCGCTGTTTGTTCTCTCTTTCGTCGATCTTTTTGGAGATTCTGTCAAGGTCAAGGTGGTGCACCGGACGCATTCCGCCCAACCAGGCCAGTGAAGCTGCCCTTCCCAAACACAGTTTCTCGTTCGTCTGTCTGCCAGTCTTGGGTGAAAGCATCCTTCCTCCTCTGCAGACTCTCCGGCTGTGGCTATCCCTTTAATAACTTTAAATACTCAGAACTATGACACACCAGTTGACTCCTCACACTGAAACGGAGGAGGCACTCCGTTCGGCCAGAACCACCCCACCTGCTTCTCTTCACTGACCACCTGTTGCACCAGCCGCGGGACTTGCTGATCTTCCACAGCTTCTGCGTTCACCTCCACATCCCACCTGAATGGAACAACTCAAACAAGGTAGACCTGCAAAGAATAGAATCATGAATAAGTATATAGATCACCTATGATCACCTGTAATGTGTGCCGGAAAGGTCTGTGAAGGAACTGACCCAAGGGGACAACGACTCCGAACCTAACTGCAACTTGCAAGGTTCTTCGAGAGCCAAATCGGGGTACGGAAAATGAGCCCCCGCCCTCCTTTGCCGGGCTGTTGTGCCTCCTAAAAACATGCCGTGTCCAGTTAGACCCTCCTGAGGCTCCTGGCTCGTGTGCGGCCATCCACAACTTCCCTAGTCCACCATAGCTGGCTACGCGTTTGCGCAGACTAGGGCAGGCCGCATAGAGGTCTGAAAGGCGGACCTGCGGCGAGCGGACGCGAGCGGACGCGAGGGTGTGAGCGGCGGTTGGGGCTGACCATGTCGGTCTCCTGGGGTTCGAGTAGAGCACTATTCCCTGCGATAGCCAGAAAAGAATGAGCCCCGAAAACGCCAGTGACAAGAATCAAGAAAACAATGAAACTCACGAAGTGTCGGTCCACATTCTGAAGATGGCATTGGATGGAAAGCGAACATTGGTCATTGGACGAAGAAAGTCTCGAATCACATACTTGTGCGGAGAAGGAAGCACTGGTCAATTTGTCCCAATCTTCCAGGACTGATGACATCGGCACCCTTCAAGAGATGGGATCCTGTGCTGTGCTTATGCCAATCACGCTCAAGCTTTTCGCGTGTCTACTTTACAGGTTCCCTGTGAGGCCCAACATGGCCCGACCAGTACTGCTCTGCCCGGCCTCTTTACCCAAGGCATCAAGGCGCCGAGCATGTTCATCCGTCCCGCGCCAATCTAATGGAAAGCTCCGCAGCTTCTGCAGAAGAAATGCCCACTGTCGTTCGGGGTCGATTCGGTCGACCATGGCGACAGAGCGACGCTCCCGCAGCGGGCTGGAAAGTGGGCCGCAGGGTCTTGGGGTCGAGTCTCATGAAAGCGCTGCTCGATCGAACTGCTAGTTTGCAAGAAAAATGTGCTACTCATGCTGAATGCTTCTCCTGGCTGTTGCTGTTGGTGCCGTGAGATTAGCAAGAATCCAGCTTCTTGAAGCTTGGAGCGTGGAAAAGCTGCAACGCGTCTCACAAATAATTAGAATGACTCTATGTCACACTCCTAGCATCGCACAATTGCTGCTATTCTTCCAATTCGTCCTCCTTCCTTGAAGTCACGGGCTTCACTTGTGCTCACATTGCAATTTGAAGATTATATAGTTTTCTTCGTAGCAGCGTGTCAAAGGGGCCTTCCTTCAATGTCCTAGTACAAAAGGACCGCTATATCACGGTTAGGACTAGTCTTTCCAAGCCACGGAAGCGTGGACGAGACTGAACTTGTTGAAGCTCCTGCAAGCAAAGCTGGAAACAGGCATGGCCCAGCAATCCAGTTTCCAGAACACTGCTGTCAGAATCCAAGGCCATGGAAACAACAAAAGATCTAAAAAAACACCACAGCTAGCTAGGTGCAAGTGCAGAGTTAAAAACCTCCCGCATCTCCAAAAACATGCATGCCAGCTTAGCTACACTACTGTTTCCTACTTCTGGTGCAGAAGCGCCCGTCTTCACACAGGGAAGGAAATAGAAGCTCACACTGGCTCACACCTTCTCGGCTGCTGCATGGTTTTCTGGCGTTGCGGGCACACACGCCTCCGCAAGCCACAGGCAATCACCTTGGATCACTCGCATCAGCCGGCCCCTGAGCCGGCCAGAAAGCGAGGTTGAAGGTATTCGGTAGGGGGTTAGCCAGGGTAGTCATGGCAACAAAACGATCCAACAATTGTTATGTGCTACGCAGGAATGACCCTCAAACAGAAACAAACGTGCAGTATCCAATGCGAAACAATGAGGAGCGTTTGTTCCATTGACCACTAATTTGTGGTGAAAGGTGCATTCCCAAACGGCCCTACTCCCTTAATTCAACTAGTGGACACCTCCGCATTCACAATCCTTCCTCACAAATCGACGAGGGGCCATGGCACCAGCCACCACCGTGACCTTGTGGACAATCGCTGCAGTCGTGTGCTCGGTGAGAGCCACAAGAAACCGAACGCTCCTGGAACCAAGTCATTGTCAATGGTCCCTCGAATTTCTTGTCGTGCTGCTGCACTTTGCACGGCTTTACATGGAGCTGATGCCGTGTCAAAGACTGATGTCATGTCTTGCGGCAAGAGATCTGTTTCAACTACAAGAAAAACGAAAAAACAGAGAGAGAGAGAGAGGGAGAACATCTCACCGCTGACAGACACCAAATCGCCGAGGCACTATGCAGGCAGAGCCGGTCCACATACAATCCTGAAGTTTTGGGGTTCAAATACTTATATAAATAATGCACAACAAATGCATGGCATGTTCAAGGTCTTCCAGATTCTTCCAGGATAATGAGGTCTTCACAGCTTTTGCTTCAATTGACGCTATCCTTACGACAATTTCAAGGTGCTACTCATGCCAAGCTTCGCCATTGCAATAATTGGCCGCATCCTGCAACGGCAGGATGCGCTCTGTCGGGCTCTGGGAGCAACTCCTTCGTTCCTTTTTAACGCGCCTTTCTGCATCAAATCCAGTTGAATTGAATTTCCGAGTCATCGATGTGGGTGAATCTTGGGAAGCGGGCTATGGGAGGCTGTGGCACTGCGAGACCTGCCCATTAATATATATAGCCCTGATGATAGATAGGTCAAAGGATAGGCACACATGGTCAATACATGACACATGATAGATTCGTCTTGACTCGGCATAACACGTGATAGATCACATGACCAATGGGCTTACCCGGTGATTTCAGGTGTTCCACTGCGGAAGCTTCTCCCCACTGAGTGCCTCTTGGGGAGCTTCTGACACGCACAAGTGGCAGCTGGCTGCTGAGTGACCACCACAGCTGACCCTGAGCTGGCAACTCTTTGAGCCAAACCTCACTACCTACATGGTCTGAGCATGCCTACCCTGCACCCATCTACCCCCCAGAATTATATAACACATCAATACTGGGGCTCAAATGCTCAAATGCTTGAGGACTCAACTGTGTCCATCTGTGTTCCTCCCGTGATCATTGTGGCCACCATCAAACAAACCATTCAATGTCAGGAGGCCAAAGGCTTTGAGTGTCGGATCTTGACCATGAAAAGTCATGAAAAGCTGCCGTGCTGAAAGATTTCACACATCCAAGTCGCGAAGGGCTCTCAAAGCCTCCCACCAAGCCAATCAGAACCAAAGAAAGACCAGCGCCACACCCGCCAGGCATCGGGAACTCCAGGAGACTGTGTTGATGATCGTACGTGTTCTAAGGGCTGTGACGGGATCGATTCAAGGTTTTCGATGGCTGGGTACGGCTCCTCGACTTGATTCTCTCACTCATCTGAACGGCATGGGAAATGGCTCTCAGCAATGACCAGTGTCAGCCGCTTGAAGTTTGCTGGGAATTTGTTTCAAGCCTACGGAGTCCCAAGGCCAAGTGTCTCATGAATAATGAGTGGTTCTTCTTGTGCGAGTGTTTCTTGCTTGTGTCTCTCACTCAGGCCGAGGGCGACACACCCAACCTTTTGACCCAAGCTCTGCGGTGGAGTGGACACATGGTGCAAACAATATGATTCAAACGATCTCCAGGAAGTCATGGAAGTCAGGCTGCCCACTGAAAACCCTGACTTGTAGCCATGAGCAGAAACGACATAGCATATTTCATATACATGTATTCACCCAAGTATATAGGTTATATAGATGGCCCTATACAAATGGTCGCTAGATGTTGAGTTGGATGCAAAGTCATGAACCTTTGACACTTTGGGAGGGAAAGGTCAAGCTCAGGCAGCGCTGGATCCTAAGCCCCACCGTGTCTTTTTCATTGAAAACTGCAGACAAATTCTTCCGGCACGTCTTTCTGGTCGGTTGGAGTTGCTCAAAGTCTACGTCCACAGCTGCTCCTCAAGCCACTGTCTGGTGCATTGCATCTGCATCTCGAGCCGACTCTTGTACATGTGCCGCACAGGCAACGGCCCAAAGAAGGCTCACTTGGCGAGCCCTCAAACAATTCATGCTTACATGTGTCACTTCCCTGCTTCAGATTTCAGCTAATCAACGTGTATGTACGTTTTGTATAACAAATGTTTTGGCATCCAAGTCCCTGAGTTGGTCTGGGCGTACTGTGTTTGTTTTTGCTTGGAGTTGTGGCACAATCATTCTCTACACAAATGACCAGTTCACATCTGCTTCCAGTATGATCTGGTGCTGAGATTTTCTAGACACCTTGCCGTCCGGCCAGCAAGCGTCGCTGACCCATATGCACTCGCCGCAGTTCCCGCACCAGCTGATTCTTCAGCTGGACCAAGTCCTGACTGACCCCGCCATTGGAAGGACCTGTCTTTTGCTCACAGTCTTTCATTCCGACGCGTCTTTTCTTATCGCTCCTAGCAGTAAGGCCAGGAGCCCCTAGTAGCGTCCGATCGCTCCTAGTAGCGATGCCAGGAGTCCCTAGTAGCTTCCTTGCTCCTAGTCTTTCTTAGAAACATGAATTGAAGAACTCATAGCGCATTTCTGCCAGCGATGAATCGAAAGGCACACGGTGTGTCCTTGACCGTGGTGACATTGCTCCCCCGCAAAGCAATCACTTCATCCAAGACCTCGTCAATGGGAAGGCATTGCTCACCTGCTCGAGATGTGCCACATTGACATGGAAGCTACTAGGAACAAGTGCCACGCTACTAGGAACAAGTGCCTTACTAGTAGTAACAAGAAGCTATTAGAAACAAGAAGCCTTTTGACACTCATGGTCACAGGGCCCCTTTCAATGGTCACAGGATGTCATGGAATTTCATGGAAACGTGGTTGGTTGCGTGGTATTCATCACGACCCTGTAATTACCAATCTAAGCGGTGATGTGGCATCATGTATTGGAGCTTTTGCATCCTCACCAGTGCCTCCGAAGACGATATCCGGATCCTTGATGATGGAGATCACATCCACTCCCACATGCATAAATGTGTGCAGGTGTTCCTTCCTGGGCCAAACAGCCAAAGACACCCTTGGGGAACAACCAATGCCCCAAGCAAACCAGCAGGGACGACAGGTTCAAAGATTGGCTGTCAAGCTCTCAAGGCAAACCTGTGGCAAAAAATCACAACACAACATAGACAAGACTTGCTAAGGATATACTGCATTATGTCTGCTTAGCCGTCCCCACAAAACGAGGCCAAGAGGCTCATCCAAAATAGTCCTGTGGCGCAAAGGTGTGGCCATCGTTTCTTGCGCTGATCACTTGAATCTGAAATCAAACACCAGCTTGAAACACGTCTTGCCAATTTTGCCACATACACCAACCAGTGTTGAGATTCAAGCTCTCCTGAACTCGTCTTGGCTGATGATATCATCGTTGTCGGTATCCAGCTGCTTCAAGACTCCAAACACCCTTGGGCAGCAAGAAGGCTGCTGCTTGGCTTCTACATGTCTCTGCCAAATAAATATGTTTCCGTGTTTCTAATCTGAATTTTCAAGGTCAATCCTACCTTCCTGCAGGCCATGCCTTCCAAATCCCCTGCCCTGCGCGCCCCGCAGCTGCCAAGCACGGATCCACACGCTTCGGTACCTCTTGCTGATCCAAGGCGCCGCTCGCGAATCACACCTGGGAGGACGACCGTTTTCTCGCCAACGGTCCTTTGTATTTTTCGTATCGATGACTGTCTGTCAAGTATCATATGTATCTATATTTATATATATACACATATATATATATATAATATATACACATATCATATATGTGTTATGTCTCTAGAGCTGACTGATGTGTCCTACGGCACTTGGAAATGACTTGCACGCGCTTCTCATATACATCAATTGGGCGGTGTGGTCTTGGCAGTGGGATCAACACAAGATCCATTCCAACAACACCTTTAAAAATGAGCAACTCCCTCTCCATCCTCTCCATTAGAGGGTCCAATCCACAAAGGGTGCTTCATGCAACTTGACGACCTTTGCGGGGTCGACAGACATAAGCTCGTGTGAGAGATCTCATTCCCTCATCACTCCGCTCATCTACCTCATTGCCTTGGTGTCATGCTGCGACTGGATAAACAATATGCGGCCGAGTCCTGTCTTGACTGCCTCATTCCCACTTGTGTTCCCCTTCCCCTTCTCATGATCCGAGATGCTCTGTTGCTGAGTCAGCTGTTGGAGTGTGGCTACGGAACTTACAACGTGCACCAACACTGCCACAATCATGTTCATGACCTCAGGTGGCGAAAAAGAATTGACATCATACAAGTCATTTCAAACAGTATGATTGATTCTCGTTTCTCCGGCTGTGCAGCCGTGCATGTCTGATTTCCGGATGACTAAGGTGGTCCCTCATTTTGAACAAAAACACTTCACCACCTCACCCCACCTATTCCCATCTCACAGCTGCATAAGCTCTGGTTGAGCATCGCTTCGCCACTATCTACCAAGTGGCTGTGAAAGGCCCCAGGAAAATGAAGACCATGAGGCAAATACCAACATCTATGCCTCGATTTTTCAGATTCCGCAAGCAGCCCCATCCCCGAAACAAGGAGGAGCCAAATGGGCATGCATTATGTTTCCTTTTTGTACGTCAAGAGCCTGGCACCCCGTTGAGCACTCCGACACAGACCAAACTGATCTCTGCCTTTTTAACGATCCTCCGACATGATCACAGCCGATGTGTGACGATGGTGTTTGCTTTGACATTTCGGAACATCCCAACAAAAACATCCCAATTGCATGGAAACTGGATGTTTTCGAGTGCTCCTGTGAGAAAGCAGAAAGCATGAACATGATGTCTCAAACATGCACCAACATCGCAGTGGAAGATTGTCGGATCAGCTGTGTCCAGCCTTCGGTAAAAATGGCTTCAGCCATCTCCGGCAGGAATTCGCCCAAACAGCCATGAAAGAACAAGGAAAACCTTGGCAGCTGGATTTCGGGTTTCTGGGGTGAGTCTGTGCAATGCTGATTGATCTTGTGCAATGGAATTCTGCTCATTGAAGGCCTCAACTCTTGATCTACTCTGGGGCTGCTGAGGCTGGAAACGAGTGGTGATACTATACAGTATGGCATAGACATAGACCATGGGCATAAAACAAGAACCGTGCCGGTTAACACCACAGCTTGCTACTGGACCCCTCCAGCAACCCCATAGGGAGACACAAACTCTCAAACGCTGGAAGAACTATTCATGGCGGGCTCCGAGCTGCGTTTTTTGCGTTCCCCACCCCGCGAACTGAGCATCCGGCATGCCATGAGTCAACGAAGGAAAGTATGTATCACCCGCTGGGGTGTCCCTGCGTGCAAAAAATGCAACTTGAGCCTCTAAATGAATGATACCTCTGGTTCTCATCATAAACGTGGAGTCCATAGAGGTTTCTTACCACCATTACACAAACATGACAAGCATACCCCATGAGTCTCGATGCGCAGCTCAGAGTCTCGGCCTCAGGAGCTGTGTGAACGCCAAGGAGAAGACGTAGACCAGCGTCACCAGCAGCGACAAAGCACAAATCACGGAACGGGAGGCCACGCCCATGCCCTGGAAGAGGATCCTGTAGAAACCGGCAAGAGAAACGGCCAGAAAACCAAAAGCAACACACAAAATTCAAGCCTGCCAAAGTCTGAACCAAAAATAATCGGCAGTGAACGACATGAATTATCTAATACATCTAATACACATGTATATGTATGCTATACTTGTATAATATACCTGGAATGCGTTTTGATGCTCCCTCGCAGAGGGCCATTCAGCCTCTTAACCTCCATAGTGCGTTAACCCACTGGAATCCCACTCGACTGGGTTTGCCAAGCATCATCACTTCCGGCACTGAACGCATAATCCTCGCCACCCGTGCCAGTCGGCTGATGCGGATGATCCTCAACATCCGCAGGAAGGAAGAGTTGATGACGTAGACATTGGTGTCCTTGGAACATACTCTGCTTTGAACTTAAGTTTAAGACTTCAAGCGATCAGTGTCTGCAATGTGTTTGGTGCTACCTTGGCATTTGGAGGTATGAATTTGATTCATATTGTAAGGCCCAACGCGCAACAGAATGTTCCAAAAGGCCTACAATAAGGTTCGAAGTGTGACAGCGGCTGGTGTGATGACATGCCGTCTTGAATGCATGCAGCACCTGAGGAACATCAAAGTCCTGTTGCCTAGCCTTAACTGATACATAAATAATGTATTCAGGATCGAGATGTCTGGTGCTTCGCACGCGGGTCCATCATGATAGTCTCTTTTCCAATGATTCAATGATTCTTGAGATGTTTGTTGGCGCACAAATCTCGGACTCTAAACCTGTTTGTGAAAAACAAAGGCTTAACACCCGTGTCAGGGCCAGGATCTAAGGCAGCCATGACCACAAGCAAGGCCCAGGTATCAACCACCATGGCCAGCACGAGGGCAAAATCAAAGACAAACCTGAGCAAATGAAAGGCTGCAATGTTAGTGATTTAATTTTGATGAAATTTGTGTTGCTCCTTTTTCTGGAATACGTTTTTGCTTCTGTCAGGTTGCTCCCTGTGGAATTGTAGAAAGGTTCCTGGCAGTGTAGCCGTGCGTCTGAGAAAGGGTGCAGTTTTTCAGTGGCGGCGAGGGGGCATCCCCCTACCCTAAACTGCCTGGGCTTGGCTTTAACTTTTGTTCGGCTGTGGTTCCGTTTTGTTTTTTGGGGTTTGGTTGACTTGGCTTGGCTTGAAAGAGCTTGAGGGGGGTTGGGGGGAGGGCGCAGCGCCACCCCAAGAACAAACCAAGCATATACTGAGCCACGAAAAAGCTACAAAATGCCAACCAAAAAACACAGCTATCAAAACCTAGCCATCAAAATCCAACGAACTCCCTGAGAACCAAAAGCAAGGTATCAAAAACCAATCCGCAACCGAACGTCAGCCCAAAGCCACACAAGCCACCAACAATCAATTTCACCAAAAAGCTACGCAGCTGTACCAAAAGAACTATACATATACCAAAACAAAGTCATCAAAATCCAACGACATCCACGAGAACCACCAAAAGCAATCCATCAAAAGTCAAACCACCCCAATGCCACACAAGCCACCAAAGGCCGCAAAACGCCAACGAAGTCAAAAGCCACACAAGCCACAGAAGCAACAGGTAGAGCAAAACAAAAAATATACTATGACTAAGAGTTCCAAAAATGTCCTCCCTAAATGAAAATCCCAGTCGGACAGAACCGGAAGATCTCTGTCTTCCTCCTCTGCCATTCGGATCGGACCCAGCGACCGGCATCCGACTGCAGTGACATCCCTCCCTACAGGTTGACGTGGATAGAGTTTGAGTAGGACCGGATGATCACGGGACGTATATACAGTAATAATATAGGCAAGACCTGCGCCACTTTAATCATCTTCAATCCACTTTACAAGCAAATGAGGACAGAACAGCTAAAGGTGAAGCAGTAATGAAGCTACACGTGTCGTGAAGACCCCAAATACAAGTCGGTGAAGAAGCTCAGGACATTTACTCAATGTCCTACAATCGTCAACCACATTCCACATGCAAATTTGAGTGGGGCAGGGCAAGCTAGGTAATATGATTTGATGAGGCAGCTCCAGAATTCCTGACAACGATGCAATCTCTGAATTTCCTCGCAATGCAGTTGCGACGTTGTTCGGCGAAGTGCGACCAATGTCTGGCTCCGTTCCCGTCCGAGCTTCCAGGCAAAGAAATTATGGTGATGCTCCGGAGTCAAAGGGTTCAAGATGGTTCAAGAGTACACCGGATTTTAGAAGGCGGAAAAATGCGATCAGAACTGGGTTGTACACTTCCAGGCGGAAAATTGAAAGCCACATGGCTCAGAACGGCTTAGAGCTATTTGTGACACACCTGTTTACGTTGCGTGAAACGGTTCCAAGCGGTTTGGGACTACACACAGAGAATCCCCAAACGATTTACCTTGCATATCCTGATCCTTATATATAATGGTTTCAAGTTTCAAGCGGTTTCGACACTATCAATGGAAGACCAGACTTGAAAAGCATCAATCACGGTATTTATGGCTCAATATGATGTATGAGAACATGTCAGTAAATAACAAAAGCAACAAAAGTTGCAAATTAGGGGTTTGGGCGGAGCGGAGCAAGCCAACTATATAAAAATATGGTATAGGTTTCCTGGAAAAAAGCGATTACGTTTACATTATGAGGAAACATGCTTTATATAATATAGTTATATACGTATATATTATATCTATATATGCAGAGAGAGAGAGAGAGAGGATCTCCGGGATCTTAGTGAGGGGCCAAAGGGAGGCCGTCATTTGGAGGATGACCCACACCATGGGAGGGGCCATGGAACAAGTAAGCCCCCTTTTGTTTAGATTTAGGGTTGCCGGGGGTGCTTTCCGTCCATGTTCAGAATATATCCGCCGGATCGCTGGTCTGGGGCACTCCCAACATTAATTGCAGCGCCGCCCAAGTTTCTGCAATGATCGGCCGTCCAATGACGTTTACCTTTCTGAATTTCTAGCACACGTCCCCGTCATGTTTCACTTTAGCTTTACCTTCACAGCTTGAACGTCGAAATCTTCCGGGCACATCTGAGCTCTCATATCTGGCCTGCCTTACACGGCTGCGCTTTTTGGCCAGCCGCACCCTCCTTCTTTTGAAGCGGCAGTGTATATAAATATGTCTATACATGTGCCGCGGCATTTGTTTGGTACTAAACTCAAAAACACTATCTATATGCGGGGGCCCTATCTCGTTTAGACTACTTATATAAGTAGGTCATGCCACAGTATCTCGCTCAGACTACTTTAGTGGGAGACCACACTATCTCATTCAGACTACTTTAGTGTCATCAAGCAAAAAGATCTCGTACCGACAAGTCACCAAAAGTCGCGAAACACATTGCACTTCTTGCGGAAGGCACCGAAGCGCACCACGATCTGCGAAAAGCCAATCCGGCAGATTCAAACACTTCAAGATGCCTCAGCCTCCAAGCCTTCCGGTCTTTTAAGTCACTGCATGGTCAGCAATAATAGGCGTTCAAATGCTCAACGGTTGTGATCATGTGCACAACTGAGATTCAACTAGGTGAGGCCTCACAAAAGAAGTAAGTGCAAAAAATGTTCTCCATGATGATGAAGACCGGCTCCTGATCCCGGGGATAAGGCGACAGGAGAGGTCAACAGTAGGCGCATAACATACTACTACCTGACACATGGTTGCCTGCTTAATTTGGACAAATGGCAGCAGGAAAACTAAGCCTGCAAAAGATTGCAAAAGGGTATACGAAAACCCCCCACAAAATCACGTATTGGAAAGTTCAGCATGGAGTTTTGGACTTGAACCCGTGCTTCCCGAGTGGAGCTTTTGCTGGCCTCCTCAAGATCAGGATTTATGACCCGGTATGTGCATAGCCCACGTCTAAAGTTCAGAGAAGCTTCTGAGTTGATCAGGAGGATCTGATTGTTGTAGGTGACATCGACACCTAGCCACACTGCATTGGCCTAAGGATCGCACACAAACAAAGCCAAACACCAGTAATCACACATTCTTGTTGAACCATAATGCGCAAACGCCTTTTGCGTATGTTGAACCAATCTGTGTTAATGAAACTATGATTGTCAATTCTGTGTCCTGACTTCAGGACCTCTGACACCGGTCATATCGGGATGGTCCACTCAGCCAGGCTACAGCGATCATGATCATCGTGGTGTGCTCGAAGGTGGAGCTTCGTGCAATGTATTGGCAAACGCCAGAGCTCCAATATGTATCTTGCATATCTCGGTCCCTCAGGTGGAACGAAAGGCAAGGCTCTTTGGAAAGCACAAGTTCAGACGTCAATGTTCAATCCAAGGTTCAAATCAATTTCTAATTACTGTACATCATTATATCTATATAGCAGCTTGCACGATTGATGATATCATATACAATCACAAAATCATGTTAGAGGTGGATTCCGTGGATGTGGTCATTCATAAATTTTCGAGTGGTCATTCATAAATTTTCGAGGTGTTGAATGACTCCTTCGGTCTCCATGAATCAGCAGCTAGTGGCTGCACATTGCTGGGCAAGCAGGACTGTTGCACCAAACAATTGGAGCATTCTGATGCTGCGCTTTCATCGAAACACAAGAATCTGATGGGCATTGATGTGCATGTACTGTTATATTATGAGTTTGCAATAAACCGAGCTCACTTCTAGCCGCGTAGCCCTTGGAAGAACCAGGATTTCATGGTATCTCGTATGCACTTGATGTAGTAGGCGGGCCCCGTTTCATCCTCCTCATCAACGCCTCATCACTCAACAAAATTGCAGCTGCTCACCCTTCAAGCACCTCCGATTGGATGAGCAAAACCAAAAGGAAGTGTCTGACAACTCTGGAAGTATTTGTTCGAGATTTGTGCAGGAAGTCCCCAAAAGGGCTATGAAGTGGTGAAGTTGGGGTGGATGAATGGATGATTGGGGAATGCTGCAGGATCGCTGTAAGAGAATGCCTTCCAATGAAACGTGACGAAGTTCGGGAAGGACATCAATTAGGGAGGACATGCAAGACACAACAATCTGAGTTCAGGATCTGAGGGCGGGACGATATGCGTTGCGGATGTAAAAAACTTCCTCTTTATCCTCATCATCCTCATCTGGCGGTGGCCTTATTAGGTTCCACAGGACTCAACGCCAAGCTGGGAAGAACGGTTGCTCATGCATGCCCCATGACACAGCTTACCGTCTGATCCACTTCTCAAAAAGAAACTCTACCAGAAGAGACCCCGTGACGCAGAAGTTCAAAGATCTCCCAAGTGTGGTTTAATGCATTTCCCAATTCAACGTCCAAACCAGTACTGTATCTGCATTGTGGTTGGCTAAATGTGTATGAGTATGTATATGCATATGTTTGTATATGCAAATGTTTGTATGTATGTGTGTGTACATGTGTATATATATAAATATACGTCAGTGTATATGCACATGTAAATGTATACCTAAATATATGTATATGTGCATCTGTATGTGTATGCATGTGTGCGCATATGCGTATGTATATGTATATGTACGTATCTGGATATATGTGTGTGTAGGTATGCATGCATGTAACCACCTACCTACCTACCGTATTGCCTACCTACACAAGTAGAATAAAAACACATACAAACGTACGCACCGCATGTACCATACCAAAACATACCATACGGTACACTACATACATAGAATACAACACACTAGGTTACAAAACAGTACCGTACAATACTGTACAATACATATCATACCATACGGCACCATACCATGCATACACACATACATACACACATACCCACGTACGTACCTACCTACATACATACATACATACAGAAAGACAGACAGACAAATTTACATATATACCTACGACCTACATACATACGTACATACATACATACATTACACGCACTACTTACACTACATACACATAAATACATACACACATACACGCAAACAAACAAACATACATGCATACACACATACATGCACGCAAGCATACATACATACGTGCATGCATACACATATACATGCATTCATTATTTATTGCCAATTTATTGCTTTCGTTTCTGTCTTTCTTTCCACACATACATACCATACCATCTGGCTGATTGTAGTCATTTGCAAGTTGTTAGGGCGGTTTCTTGTTTCTAAAAGTGAAGTAAGATTTGGGTCGCCTGAAATAACACAACGATTTTGACAGCGCAGGGGGGGCAGAAAGAATCGACCTGACACCCTAGGAACTATTACAAGTCAGGCATGGCGTGGCCTCACTACACACAAGCTTCCAAAGTAGCATGTTGTGAAAAACCATCACAAACACAAAATGCAGCCTCCTCTCTTTTCACTCCTGCGCCATGCTCAATTCCCTCCTGGCAACAGCTTCATGGCCTGGAGGCGCAGCACCTAGCTGTCTTGCGCTCAGAGTGCGGCGCAAAACTTTGGCACAAACTCGTAATTGCACTGCAAAAAGTCTCTGAGGCCTCTTGGGGGCACAAGAATGCCTCATGATAATATTTCGGGTGAGGACACTGCTGTTGCTTGACAAATTCCTCCGCAAGCTTGGAACCAAAAAACTGATTGGGATTTTAGCAAGGTCAGGTCAACTCCTCTGCCGGCGTTGGAAGCTAGACACGATAGGTCCCACTTGACTGGACTTGGGAAACATGGTTGAGGGCTTGCCATTTGTGAAGACAAAGCGCAGCAAGCCTGGAGTCATCTTCTTGCGATTCTCAACTTTCTTCTTCAAGACGGAACTGAGGGGACGCTCGACCACAAGTCGGGCCCCACCATGTCTTCTGGTTGAAGACTCAGGCACTCGTTGCCACGGCTCAGCACCTGTGGCAACCTTCTCCAAGCGGACGGGTGCGACAAGACTTCTTTGGAAGCTGCGCTCAGCTCTTCCATGGTCATGCAAGGCTCCTTTCGCTTTGAAAAGGCAAATTATCAGCTGCTTCAAGCAACCTTCTTCACAGTCAGGATGCCTCTGCAAGTGCGACAGCAAGTGACTGTGAGAAGCTGCATGGCGACCCAACTTGAACTCTGCTTCGGCCTGGCGTTTAGAAAAACAATCCCCGCCGCCTGCCACTGACCCAAACAGCAACCCCCTGCCACTTCACAAAACTGGCCCTGGCACCTGCCAGGCTGGTTTGCAAAACGCCGGGCTCTCGTGCCTGGCGTGGCCCCATAAAGTTATCGGTGGAAAGTGACGTGGGAGGAATCGATCCCAGGGACCTTTCTCACGACGTCAGATTTAAGCTTTTCGGGCCCTGAAAGCCTCATATTCGGCGTCTTGAGAAATCTGCGTGGGAGAAAGCCTATCTCAAAAACGCCCTTCCTGGCCTCAGTCAGCCGAGCATCAGCTCCTTCCACGCCAGCACTGCTCATGGCAGCTCGCAGGAAATCGAGAAAAGCAGCTCAACATGGGTGAGTTCTGGTCACATGTCACATGTCATGAAGCGTGCACGGCGTGTCTTAACATGTCTTCACACTCCCACTGCTCAGGGCTTGTGCTCAGGCTGCAGGAGCCCAGTACAAAATTGGTAGCCCCAGCTCTCGTTCTGGTTCACTCTCGTCCCTTATTTTGCAGGGGTTTTGCAAGGTCACTTCCTCGAGTGGTTAGGCCTTTCATTGGCTGGTTGAATGCAAAGGACCCCAGGACATGACAAACATAATCCTTATGCCGGAAGTATTAAACAAAATGAAAAGGAAGGACCATCCATTATTCAGAAACGTAGGTCGAATTCACAACTGACGTCGCGTGACCTCGCGACAATTCAGGCAAATACCATATCACATCATTACATTAATACACACACATATAAATATATATATATACAGTATATAATATTATAATACTATATTGTGGTATATTATATTACATTACATTACATTCAATACAACCAACCCAGGCAACCTTGACAAATGCGGTTCAGGCAGCTTCTCAGGCTCTTCGTGCGTCTCGTCTTGCTTTGGTGTTGGCCCATAAGATCCTCAGTGATCACCGGCATACACCAGGTGCACCAGGCATTCCACACGCCAACCCACTTGGTGTTGTTGACAAATCAAAAATAAGGCCCTCTTTGACAAGTAATTGCTTATTATTGAACTACCTTATATAACATCTACCTTCTGTAGCGAAAAATATAAAATGAAAAAAGAAATGTTCCTCTGCCTGCTAAGCCTTTCTCTCCTGCCCGTAGGATGAAAGGTAGGTTTTGGGGTTGATTCCGTGTGTTTCCTACACACCTCGGCCGAAGCTCCCCGCGTGGCCAACGTTCCTGGAAGCTCCATGGCCGGCAGCTCGCTGACGTCCACCAAGCCTACCAGGCGACAGACATCTGGGACCAAACAAAGCTGAATAGACCTGGTCTGATATCTGGTCTGTTGTGCTCTTGAGGCACCTTGCGTAGTGCCAAGTCACCACACGAAAAGTGGCATAATTAGGAGAGTCGAACTGAGGATCTCAACAGGGTCGAGTGATGAGAGTAAGCAAGCATAAGTCCAGGTCTACCAGAACCCATTTCTTGACTCAGTCTGGTAGACTCACCTGCTACATCGTGGTGCGTTTAGTGGAAACGACAAAAACAAAGTCCTTTAGGCCTCAGGGTGTAGGTTGGTTGGAGACACTATTAGGTTGGAGGGCATTGGTGTCAGGTTGGAGACCATTGCTATTAGGTTGGAGGCCATCGCTATTAGGTTGGAGGGTTCAGCGGACGTTTGACGGCCGTCGGCTCCTGTCCTGCCAAATCGCGCTTCAAGGTGCTTCGGTGCTGCGAAGCCCAGCTTTCCAGCTTCTGCTGGGCGCGCTCCAGCCTGCGCGGCCACTGCGTTCCGAAAAGTTGCAAAAGGCATGCACAGCAAGGACTCACCTCGTAGCTTTGTGGTGTGTAAAGGACAGAGATCTTCCAATACTAGAGGGGGTTCATTTGGAAACATTTTGGAGATGTCCAGACGGTCCAGACGTGCTTAGTATTCTGAAGCACTCGAGCTCAAGACAAGGGCCTCGGCGGCCTGGTGACTTTCACCGGCGGACTTCGCAGAAAGAACAGGTCCGTCCCGCGAAGCGGACGGGTCACCCAGCCTATCCAATGGAGTCGAAGGTGGACCCTGTCGACGTTTGACGTTGCACAGAAACTCCGCAAACAAAAATGTATCTGACAGGAAATTCATGTGGGTGTCGACTTCTATCACTGCTAGGCTTGTGATATATGACTCATATGACCTTAGTATGTTGTCTCTATTTTACATATGTCATCCCCATTGCTACCAAGAAGAGACGTGAAGCAATGGTCAAACGTTTAGGCCAAAAAGGTCCATGTTGGTGAATGTTAGCTCAAGGGGTTGCAACAGGTCAGACGTGTTCCCAGTCCCAAACATGATAATTAAACATATATAACATAGAATAGGTCTTGGAAATCCATGAAAATCCTTCCTTCAAACCAAGGGATCTCCTTTTTTCCATTTTTTTGCCAGTTCATTTGTTTCCTCTCCATTGGATGTTTCAGGATTGAATTTCTGCGAGGGTCGAGTAGGAATTGTAAGTCGCGTTCTGGACGGGCCCACCATTTCAAATCAAGAGAGGAAGAGTTCCTGAGTGGGCCTTGTCACCTTGTCAGTATGTCAAGTGGTTCCTTTCAATATGTTCCGGCATATTCTCTTCCAAACTTTGGATACGTTTATGATGCTGAACTGGGAGTGAGTAACGACAAAACGAGACAAAACAGCTTTAACATGTGAGCCGTGAACCTTCAAGAATAGGCTGTCCAAAAGATTGTTCGATTTATATAGAGTTTCCAGAATTTCGGAGGATGTTCGAGAACTTTGATTTTTACAGTTTGGTGTTGTTGTTCTTGATGTGTTTCATTCTTAATGATGTTTGTTTGGGTTCTTAAATCTCCTTCCAATTCTTCAAACTGGTGGTTCATCAGGTTCAAATGCTTTTTCTAACTGTATTATACAATGGATTTCCGCCTTCTGGAGGTTAGCACGGAACCAAGAATACAATTTGAGTGTTGACACCTTTTACCTGTTGCAACTGTTACAACATGTTACAATCCTCTTTTAGACAATCTGTAGCAATGAGGGTAATATGTCCATGTCTAGATTGCAGTGTTCTTCCCGTGTTAGTCGACAGCCAAGATGCATTTCTTCATGTCTCGTGTGTGTGGGCATTCTTCGCCGAGTGTCGTTGTGTGGGCTTCCAAAGAGCATCTCCGGCTTTCCGCTGGGGCTTGCTGGGTTCATCTCTCTCGCAGGTGGGAACATGGCCGAGGCCAGATCCTGGCCGGCCACGGGGAGGAAAAACACCGCACTCTGCCAACGAGTGACACCTTCAATGAGGTGCCAGGCTGCCCAGCCAGCAATTTTGCCGTATTTTTTGCGTTGCGTCGTATACAGTATGCATGGTATAATTCACCAGCTAAGAACACGGCCACATGCGTCACCAAAACAAAAATCCCATATAGCTGTGACAGCTACGAGTACCCCTTCCCCACAGCCGAGCCTGGCCACCTCCGAGGACATATGCATTGCCCACCTGAGGTCGATGATGGAAGCAGCTAGGGTCAGTCCGTTGCCATTGAAAGCATTGAGCATGGCCTGAACATGTTGAGGCGTTGATTTGTTTGATTGGAAGGGAGGAAGCTGCATCATAAATACACCCCCCCACGAATGAGATGCCAAAGCGATGCGATCTCCCACAACTCATCTCGGCTACAAGTAGTTATATCAGTTATAGATCACATTGAGGCATATTTGGTGAGTGCCTTCCCTTCTGGTCGACCCACCCCACCTGCTGCAAAGCACTGAGTTGTTCTCGTAGCTCGAAGTTTTCGAGTTCGATTGCTCGGGCAACCCGGTCACCTGGGCGGACCGATGTGAAAGACTTCTGGACGCATGAGAAATGCGCGATTTGGTGAAGAAACATGGCTCTCCTGGAGGTGAGAAATGGTGAGAAGTTGATGGAACACGCTCCTGCTCAAAATGATTCACGAGCTCCGCGGCTCTGCTCCTAAGTCCTATGTTGGATACCTGGGTTCCTCGATGAACCTGGCTTCGTGCCCGATACTTGTCAGGCAAAAGATCGATCTGATGAGGACCGGACGATCCAAATACTTCTCCTGATGGCAACGGCCGTGTTGAGACTCTGATGGCCGTGTAGGGGATCGTCACATATCGTCACATTGCCATCACGGGTAGCCACTTCACGTCTTGCTACATACATAATTTGGAAATATTTGGAATCCCAGTTTCTGTTGGCTTGTGGAACAGCCACCAGTCCATAACACAGTTGGATGCTGAAGGAAATTTTGAACGTCTCACATATATACTTGGAGACTGCATCGGCGTTGTATGTGGTAAGCAAGCCCTTACCCCGCCTTTCCCTATGTTCCCTCAGATCCGGACACATTCTCCGTCTCCTTGTAGAGCTTGAGCTGGGTATTCATGATCTTCGTGGTCTTCAATTCCTTCTCCCTGGGATCTCTGGTCCTCAGGGCCTCCAACTGGGTGCGGAGTTGTTCATTCTCCTGGTGAACACGGAACGCACTAAAAAAATAGGCGAGTCCCCGCATCTGCTGGAGCGTGCAGAAATCTTCAAAGCGTAGGTTGACACAGCATGCCAACAAGAAGACCTTCCCGTGTAGAGGACATCTGGGGATGCCGGAAGGGAGCTGGCAACATAACAAGTTTCGCTTATTGATGCTCGGATCGGATGTAGCTTATGGCCACACATCTTTAACAGAAAAGCAAGCCCGGCAGTTCGTCTTGGAAGGAAGGCTCAGGACATGCAGCCATGCCACCACTCGACCTGTTCCTTTTGGAGGGCCCGTTTCGCGTGACGATGTTTTCCAGGCTTGGGATCATGATGCTATTGGCGAAAAAGCTACAAGTAGTAAGGCCAGGAGCCCCTAGTAGCGTCCTTGCTCCTAGTAGCGATGCCAGGAGCCCCAGGTATCTTCTTGTGGTTGGAGCCCGGGGATCGTACAGCACACCGGGATCCGCCGTTGCTCCTCCTGATACTTCCTTGCCACCGCATCTCGATGAGACAAAAGGCGGATGGCAGTAGCATAGTGTAGCTGCAGCCTGGGGGAGGAACTCAGAAGCTTGCTCATGGGCACGAACTGGCTGCAAGCTCTTCATATCATCTCATATCAACTGGCCTCTGGTTGTTTCTTACTTGCTGAGCCAAGTAGCTGCATATAGACCTCCTCCATTTGGTTCCCAAGAAGAGACTCGATGGTTTCAAAGTTTCCTTGGCAGCACCACAACGAATGAGTTCAGGTTGCTTCGCTTTCCCTTATACGGGGGCGGTCTCTATCCAGACCAGGCGTCCAATATCCACCTCCTCGGTGGGAGTCTCCATTTTCTCCAAATGACGGTTCAGCTTTCCTGACGAAGCACGGTCTCCGGAAGCATCGGTTGCTTCAACGTGATGTGTTCAATGCAGGTTCTCCGCTTTCCTGGTGTTGAAGCTTCTTGAACAAGGCTGGTCCCCAAGTAAACTCAGCGAACGCTACCAGCTACTTCCCTTTTTGACCAAGCCCTTCCACGTAAATGGCAGCTGCTTTGGAAAACCGCATGGATGAGCTGACACTCCGCGGGTTGTCGGGGTATGGATCAACACTTGGTGTCATTCCAGGCACTCGACAGACACTTCACATCTTTTCAGTCGTCCTTGCGTCACATCTTTGCCACCTTTGTCAGGTGGGTGGGGCCGGGGGGTGCATGTCTTGCAACGGAGGTGGGTCCGTGTGGGTCGTCGGGATCGTGCCAAGAAGTCATGTCAGTCCCCAAGCAGGCCCAGTGGCGATCCATGAGAGTCTTCGCCTTGGATGCCGACAGGCGGGGTTGGATGGTACTGTCTCAAGGAGTGCCTGAGGTCCTTCGAGTGGAGCCACCCGGAGGACGGCAATGTATTGAGCCTGGGGCAAGCAATAGTACCGTAGTTTCCGACCGGCGAACATCAACAAGTCAAGAGATTCATGATCCAAGATGATCCAAGATGATCCAAGGAGGCCAGGTTCGTCATGTCCAGTCTGTCCTAATTACTTTGTACATCTTGGATGCATCACTTCTCTGGAGGCAATCACGCCTCCAATGCCGGCTGGACCCTTCAGTTCACAAACCTCCGCACCAAAGGAGACTTACACCTGACAACTTGGACACTTATTGGAAGCTTTGGATATATATATATATGTTTTTTGGATATAACAACCTGGTCTCCCGGTTCCTCCTCCGCTCGGTTGCAACAGGTCACATCAGCCTTCAGGGTCCTGCGCGAGAGTGATTGGCCCAAGCAGGAGTTTCGTTTTGCATTGTGATTTGCCACCCCGTCTCATTGACATTCTGGTGTTTCATGATGTTTCGTGTTCACGTCTATTTGCCAATGGATTCCAACCGCCATGCTACTCTCCACTCCAGCTCGGCGTCTCCTTCTCTCCACCATGGCGCCCGGGCCGGCGGAGCGGGGCAAACAGCCCCTTGAGACCGCGGGGATCTCCCAAAAGACGCGCCGTGGAGTGGAAAAAGGCCCGAAGGGGTCGATGGTCTGGGCATGGTTTGATTCATGGTTTCTCTGGTTTCATGGGTTTGTTCAAGGTTTGCGCCTTTCGGAAGTCGGAGCGTTAGGAGTCAGGATGCTCAGGATGCTGACTAAGCACGTGACCTTTAAGTGGGATCAGTGTCAGCGTGCGATTCGTTTAGCGGCCGGCGGCATGTCTTCTTGCTCTGGCAATATGGTCCTTAACCCTGCGGTGTCTAGCGGCATATCTGAGCCAGAGTCTTGCAGGTCAAGCATGCATTGATCGTGATTTTAAGGAACCGTGGAACCTTCACACCAACATGTTCGGAATTGTGGGAGTGTGGGATAGTGTGGGACGATGTGGGATGTAAGCAAGCACAAAAAAGAGAGAGAGAGAGAGAGACGACACGCGCGCTGTGAGAGGACACAGAGCGGGAGATGGCAAGGTGTTTGAAGCGAGATGGTCCATGGTACTTTTGAGCAGACTCAACTTCCCTATGCTGCGACATACCGATGCAAAGCGCAGTAGCCCACTCCCCAAATATTCCTTAATCGTCGCACGTGTTCACAATCTCAAATGAACCGGGCTCCCTCGTGTGAACAACCTAGACAGTTTGAACAAACCAATGTTTCTCGTGTGAACCTCTTGTCGTCTTATGTCGTCTTGAGTCGAATCATGGCAAGGAAGTTGTAATCAACAAGGCTCGACCATAGGCGACCATGGGCTGCTCCACCCGTTCAGCCCACCCTTACTTACTTAATTAAGTAGGCGGCTACTCAATTAAGTAAGGGCAGGATAGCTTGCTCTCCTAAACCAAGCAGGAAAGCTCGCGCTTCTACGTTGTTGGGAAAACCTTCCCCTTCACTGCCTTCACGACCGCTTCACTCGTGTCCCACGTCCGGAGCCTGCAAGTAGCAAGACATCATCCCTTCGCACTCCGGGCCTCGGTGGGACCCATTGAGGTACCAACTGACGTACAAGGGTGGCCCCCCCGCGCACCCCTGGAGGGGAATCCTCCAAAAGAGCCCTAGGCCCTGACACACAAAGGCTCAGAAAAGACCGTACGAACCGCCAGAACCTGGGACGAAGTCCTTGGAAATGGTCCAGGAGCCTGGCAAAGTTCCACAGTCGCTTGGCCATGCAAGAGTTCCACACTCTGCAAGCTGCTCTGAATGGTCCGGCCCTGGAAGGGTGCATGGCGATGTGCAGGGGTCCTGGGGGTCTGGCACCAACAAAAAGATTTGATGCGTGCGGCGGCGTGCAGCCTTCTGTTCATGATCTGCATGCTGCATACCAACGACTTACTTTGACAATAGCAAGAGCAAAGCTTCACACCCAATGTGTCAAGCCAGCTATATGAGGCACGCATGCATTGAACCCCAATGTGCCAGCAGGATGTCCCATTGCTTTAAAACTCGATCCCACAACACAAAAATGAAGAACATTATATTGGTCCACCCCATGTTGCACCCTGGTGAGTTCCTTCGAGGACCAAGGACCACAAGCAAATGACAATTCCTGAGCAATCAGGACACCACTCGGTCCGACTCTACCCTAGTGACCCCAGTGATCCATAGTGGTTCTGTAGCTCCTAGTAGCGTTCTTGTTGCTCCTAGTAGTAAGGCCGCCCCTAGTAGCGTCCTTGCACCTAGTAGTGATCCCTAGCGGTTGTGTGAAATGGCACCCTGTACCCCCAGTGTATGCCCACCCCGCCTCGGGAGCTTCAGCTACCAAACCTTCGGCCAGCCTGAGCTGCAAACGGGCTCACACCGTTTCTGCAACTTTGCGGCCCGTTCCAAAACCTTGTGATGTTTCTCCCACTTTCTGGGGATATTCGCCTCAAACCGCCACATCCAATCAATTCACCGAATCCATCCGAATCCATCGTTCAATCCGCTCACACTTGGGATGTCACTTCTCCACGTTCAACTTCTTCGTCACTGCCAGAATCTCCAAGGTGGTCTCCTGAGAGCGGAGCAAAGCGGCGTGACGTGGCCGGCAGCGATCTCCACAGAGTTTCTGGGGTTATGTGTTCCGATGCTTCTCAAAACTGGCATAGTTGCAATTCTGGAGCTCAAATGAGCTAAATGGGAATTGCCGTACTTGGTGACCATGCAATAACCATGCATGGTGATCGTGAGGGAAACACTCCTGCTACACGCTGTTCGTCACGGCTCCAAGATTCACATGCAAAGTTCAAACGCTTATCTGCATCCTGGTGAGAAATCACATGGCCGAGGTGGAGGAGGTTGACCATCAAAATCTAGGACAACGCCCATCTGTGTCCTGCCGCAGGCTGGTGGGCACCTGAACCCGTGCAAAGATCAAATGAAGAGTCTGGTCTTCCGAAAGAAAAGCCACTCTCCCATGGTGTCTCTGTAAGGCATTCAGACCGAGACTCAGTGGTTGTTGTCCCAGAATCGCTTGCATAGACCTCGATCTGAACCTCATTTAACCTCCATCCCTCCTGCTACGCTGCTACTGAGCCAAATGACGCAAATGAGATCAAATGAATGCTTGTGGCTTATTGGTCCCGATAGGCTGCCGGGCGCTCCACTCCAACTTCACCGATTCGCCCCAAAAGAAGGTCGAGCCGCGGCCTAGCTCTGCTCTCCGGTCCAAGGAGGCGTCATGCTGGACCATGTGACATTAATTGACATTAATCATTAATCTAAATATATATATATAGCTGAATCCCGACAAACCCCTAGCGGCCCTAACAGCGGAACCGATACAAAACTACTCAATTCTTCTGGTTGAGGTCCCCTCATTTTCAGGCATGATGAGATATGCTCATGGACACCAGGTCTGTGTCACAAATTCCTTTTCTGCTGCTACATGCAGAGACTTCCCCGCAACCATCCTCCCCTGGGCCCTGAAGAAACAAAAGGTTACAGTACAGTATTCAGCAACCCGGGTGCTTCCATCTTCATCAGCAGAAGTGACGATCTTTTTGCATTTCTCTTGAATGCGCCATGTTCAGCTCTCCCTAGGTGACCCTCAGCCTCGCCACCAAAGCATCAGGCGATCTTTCAGCCCAGCCCATGAGAGTTCAGGACGGGCGTCGATGTGGATGGACACTGGATGTGTTGGGCTCTGCTGTCCATCGTAGAAATCCACCACATATCCTCAGTCTCGCAGAGAAACACATAGAAATCATCAACATTTTCTTCCTCCTCTGCCCTTCCTTTAGAAGAACGTCCCTTTGGGGCACCACAGGTCTCATGAGATCCCCTGAATTTCTTTCTGTTAGACTGTTGTTCGACACGTGGTCGCAACGGTTCGTCCCTGTCCCGCCACACACCTGGAACCACGCAGCCGCTTCTGAGAAAAAGCGTCGTACATGCGTGCCACAACGGTCCACATGCCAGTCGTGGCGATCAAACGGCAAGGTTCGCCCGAAAAGGCTGCCCAAACCTCAGGCCAAGGGCTTGGTATGGGTGAGCGGCGGTCAAAAAACATAAAAGAAACATAAATAGAAAGAAAAGAAAAAAAACAAATCCAAACAAAATATTCCCAGTGAACAACGAAAGGAAAAAGAGACGAGGGGAAGGACAACAGCAGGGCGGGCGACCAAAGGACCATGAACGGATGTTCGCAACACATGGGGATAGCATGCAATATTTGGCGTGGAATGGCGGCTATGTGATGGGTGACCTCGCAAAAAGTAATGCAGATTTCATGGTGCTGGAGGGGGTTGTAAGCTGCACAAGCCAACCAGACTCAAAAGGTGCCACAAAATTAAAGTATATAATACATCACCATCGAAAACTACACTCCCTATTGCCCCATCAATGAAGGGCTCCTCCACCACACCAAAATCAAAAAGACTTAGGCGAGCATGTGCAATACTTTGTGTGAATATGTGCCTGGTGGCCTTTAGTCTAGAAAATCTGTCGTGGTAGGCGCAGCACTTTGGCAAAAGCAGTGCAGTTTTCGTGGCGCTGAGGGCGCGCCTCCGAGCAAGCCAACCATCAAAAGCCAATCAGACTCAAAAGGCGCCACAATTCACAAAATACATCACCCTCGAAAACTACCCACCCCATTGCCTCATCAATGAAGGGCACTGAGAAAGTGATGCAAGGACCAAGGCAATCGGGCAGCGTTTTGTTTTCGCAAACCTTGTGGTTTTGACCAATGGACCACGAGGCCACCTGACCAGGACCCTCACAACAACAACCACAAAAGGGACCAGGGGATCAAAGGACTGAGGAATGCACCAAGGACCAGGGGACCAATGGACCAGGGGGCCTACTCTGGATTACTATGTTGTTGATTATTTTTAGATTTGTTTTTTTGATCCTGTGATTATTATCGTCTTTGATCATGTTATTTTTTCTTTTGATCTAGATCCCGCTTGATATGGCCTCCAAATTGAAAATGCAGCTTTTCTTGGCTGAAAAATGAGAGAGACGCGAGTTGCGACATTGGAATTCAAGTACCCAGTAAACTACTGATGCTAAGCGAGTGGATCCAAAAAGAACAATCCAACCGCAAAAAAAGAAACATGTTCTAGAACGCCTCCTGGAGACGTGCCTTGGGTGTCAACTCCCCCGGTCGTCCAAGGAAGCGGATCAACTTGGGATCTGCGCAGTCGTGCAACTTCTCCTCGGGCCGTTGGGGGGGGTCTCCATCTCGATGTTTCGGTTCCGCTGGGCCGTTTTCGTCCTCTCAGTGGGTCTGAGTGTGACACGTCTTTGGGACATGGTAACATGGTAGGGAGCACCCAACCAAGCTTTCTGGGCCATGATCTGTGTTTTCCAACCGCCGGGTTCTGGGGCGCCGACAGGTTTTCACATGTTTTCACGTGTTGCTAGGAGACTACTTAGCTTTGGGGTTCAAACTCCTAAGGTCGCAGTACTGGTTGCAGCGCCTTGAGTTCACAAAGCTCAGGGCTGATTAGCCTGTCAAAGGTTGGTGTTCTGGGAACACATTTTCGAGCTGCATGAGCCGGTGAGCAGCTGTCAAAGCAATTTCAAACTCATGAAAATCATGAAAATAGTAGTTCGCCAATCTTCACTGATGGTTCATTTAGAACAACTCTCTGGGAAGATCACCCTAAACTCACACCCAGCCCGGCCATGTCATACCCTGAAACTCACTGCCCAGTCTCGTACTTGAGAATATCTTGCCAGGTGCGCTCGTTGACCGCGTTGTGGATCGCAATGACCATGCTCATGTCCTGCGGGTCCAGTTCATGACCCTTCGCAGTGGCTGAGGTGAAGAACTGCTTCTCCGAGGGGTACAGAAAATTGGATCCGTCCGCCGAAGGGATCGTGGACACCTCTCGTTTCCCACTCAACTCAGCAGGTGGAGATTCCGAGCCCTTGGAGCTGAGGGCATCCTTGGCGTCCCCTCCGTACCCGAGAGGACAGGCAGACATGTCCGGTCCGAGACTGAGGCAGGCCTTGCTGTCATGGCATAAGCTCTGTGGAAGCCATGTCTAAGAGTTCTCACAGCTTGAGCCAGGAAATGTCATTCACTCATCAAAATATCACTACAGGCTGGTGATTCTGGTTCTAGTTCGTTTGCAGTGGCACACCGGCAACAAATTCCTTGAACAACGGGAAGCAAGGTAGCATACCAATTCACCTGACTCTGCACCCCGACGGATCTGCACGAAAATCTCCGGGAAGTTCTTCTGTGGAGTGACAGGGCCTCGGCCCGGTCGGTTCGACATAGGTGGGAAGCTGCCTGCCAAGGTTAACGGTTAATGAACATCTCACTGTTGTGTACCAAGCACTTCTGAAGAAATGTCTGCTTCAGATTGGATTGAACCGTCTGTGTCCAAAGTTTGCAATGTAGAACCCCTTAGCAGCATCAAGGCGCCCGAGTGTGGAGTACTCACCTTCCGTGCCACGAGTGTGCGCGCCGGCGCACCGGGTGGTGCCACAAATGGTCAAGAGCTTGGCGTGCAGTGGAGGCAAGCATGGTATTGCCTTAGAGTCCGAAAGCTGAGACAGTGCTCCGACACAAACACGCGAGAGCGGGGCACCATTTTTACCAAACAGCCGAACAGCTTTGCTGGGGGGATCTCAATTTCGCATAGAAATGATCCTGGGCCAAAATGATGTTTGGCTGTGTGATGCTGTTTGTCTCCTTGGACCTCCTTTGTCTCCATAATAGTGATGGCTCTTCTGGATGCTGGGCTGAAATGATTCAGTTTTATGTCACCATAGCTCACGTATCGCAGAGTTACCCACCATGTGACTGTGAACGTCTCAACATGGAGCAACCACAGCGATTGTCAACGTTCCTTCCAAAGTTAACCCCTTCACACCCTGCCACGACCGCACCACCTATATATATATATATATCAATATACTAAATTGATCACCCATGAAGGATTTGATCACACGAAAGATTGACCCAAGTCACGCACACCCAATCATGGAAAATGAACACCAGTTCACATCTAAATGTCATGCACGACTTGGAGAAGAACATACAGTCGGATTTAAAATGTCATGCCGCTGAAGAAGTTTGTTGGTGAGCTTGCACTTTGAAGAGCCCTTTTCCTCAAGTCTTCGTCCAGATCTTTCTCCAAGAGGCAAATCTCGAATTTTGCTGACAGCATTGCCTAGGAACCGTCGCGCCGTCACGCTTGCAAAACTGAATCATGCTTCTTTCGTTGAAGCGCTCGGCCAGTTGATTTGGCAAAGGTAGGGCCTCCGGCCTCCAAAACACTCCAACAGATCGATGACAACCGGACGGTCGACCAGCACAACAGTCTAAGACCGAGACCACCGGCATCAGGCCTGCACGTAAGACCACTTCATCGGTGAGCTCCTCGTCGAAGACACGACCATGAAACCATGTAACCCACAAAATGTAAAAGCATTTAACATGGGCTCTTGCCACACATGGAAAACGCTTGGAAAGATTCATGAAACATTATGAGAGCCACTGACTAACTAACTATGTCTATATATTTATATATGTATATATGTAACTATATCGTGGCATCCAAATGCAACCAGGTCGCAGGGATGTCACAGGGTAACGCGAATGGGCAAAAGATCTCATGGGATATGAATTGATCGGCAGATTTGTGTGTGTGTGTGGATTGCAACATCTCCATAGGATCGCGTGACCGGCATGATTGATAATTAGATGCGATTTGTCCAAGCCTAAATTAGTATCAACATACAAACCATACAGCATGTTCACAAAATGATGCCAGAAATCAGAAACCTTTCAACATTGGCCGTGATGAGTGATGAGTGATAATTGTGAGCTCCATCCACGCCTGTTCAGCTCTGCAGTACCTTAGCAGGTCCAACCTCGAAAAGCAGGGCATGCAGGAGAGGTTCAACATGGTTCAACTTCAGCTCCGAAGAATTAAAGAAGTTTGAGTCAGCAACATCATATTTGACGTTGACATACGTTGACCCAGGCCATTGCTCTCTGTTCATCTTTGTGGCGGCACTTGTGGTGCGTTCAATCAGCCAAATTGGTGCATCATCTTGAATATCTTGAGGACAAATCAGGCTTTCCGATTGAGTCTCATCTCCATGCATCCCATCAGTTCTCAGATTCAGTTGGAACACAAATCCCTTCACAAAGCATACAAACGCAAAAAATCTGCGCTGTAAACCGTCTGAGGCAGCCCGGCAAATGAGCCCAGGAATGCTCCCAGCGGGCGACGACCGTCTCCTCGCCCTCCTGCAGCTGGGGGGCCATGGTGCATGAGGTGGAGAATGGCTGTAGCTGTGGTTCTCCAGCTTTGGGATTGCTAAGTTTATATTGGAATGTTTCATCAAGACCAAGAGCGAGATTTGAGGAAATCCCCTTTCTTTATCTACTATCTACTAGCTTGGGGTTCAGCCATGACTTTGCACAGCCGAGATGGGAATGTCATTCATGGAGTGTCTCAGCCACTTGTTCACTCGAATCATGTCCGGCTTGGAGCTCTGTTGCGGTGGCCAGTTTGCTTTAATTTGAAAACAAGTTTGGCTGCAAGAGGGGTAGATGTGGGCCTATCGATGCAACAAAAACAACAGGCAGGATTTGGTTAGTGTCTGTAAATCGTGGTCATAGAGTCATAGTCATAGTCATAGTCATAAAGTGGAATAAACATTAATAAACCGTATACGTGGGCTATACAGAACCAACAGTTGACTCACTCAATTTATAAAAATACCTGAGAAGCGAAGGGACGAAAGCCAGCCACTGCTAGGTCGGTATGCGGTCTAACTAAAGAGTGGCGGTGTGTATGGTTTCTGGTGAGGGCAGAGAGTTGATGATGCAACAAATGCAAGTGCAACTTAAACCTTCGCCTTCGGCTGGCTTTCGTAGTACTTGTACGTACCATCTTGCACCAAATTCCGCATTTCAGCTGGTAGAATAGCCGAGCAACCTTTGTGACCATGTGCCCTACTTACAAAGCAATCCTCCGCCCAAGCAATGGCCTGTGCTGATATTTGCTTTCTTGCCTTTGCATCCTTTTCCTTTGCCTTTGCTTGCTTGCTCTCTCTCTCTCTCTTTCTCTTTGGTTGGTGTGTCTTTCAATGTGAGCTTATGATCTCATGCAGGTTTCCACTCGAGCCGCGAGCCGGACGTTTTTTCTCAAGCCGACCTTGCCAAGAATACTCCGATTGATAACCTTTCCCGCTCAGCCTGAACACCTTGACGTCCTCAGCTGGCAGCTTCAGCTGGTCAGTGCTCTAAACCAACATACCTTCGATTGAACCAAACACAAAGGGTGCCGCGTATCCTTATCGTATCCTGCGTCCATACCCTTTGACAAGATGCACGAAAGAAGACCCCGGCAGAGAGGACCAGCGCGAATGCCACAAGAGGGGCGGTCCTCATTGTGCGGAGCTGGTTCCAAAGTTCCAAACTGCAAGCGGTCCGGCCACACTTCCAGCCATATAGGCTTTGGCTCTCGTGAGACGATGTGAGAGAAGGACGTGGCGGAAACGCAGCTGTTCAGAAAGACTTCTCATTGGCGGTTTGGCAAAGCAAAGCTAGTGGATGGTAATTACATGTATATAATTTTAATTACAATGTCGCATTCTTAGTATTCGACTGCCCTTTCTCCTTTCTGAACCTGGAGGACAACAGGTTCCGGATGGACAAAACCATGAGATCCAGACATTCGCTGCACCGAAAAACGTGGTGGCAAAATCAGAAGCTCGTCCCGACTCCCGTTCGGTCAGTTGCGGGTCATCGAGAAATGACTGCCTGAAGGAGCCTCTTCGCGTCATGAGCCTGTGACACGGCATTTCTGCAGCCATGGAGCTTTGCCACCTCACCCAGGCTGCCTAGGTCAAAAGGGACCCAAAATGACCTACTCCCGTGGCATCCCTCGTCTAAAGGATGTACAGCCAGCTGTAAAGCTGATAAACAAAATGACTGATGAGCAGGATCTAGCAAGGGTCTTGTCAAGAAAACCGAGATCCATATGAGCAGCGGCACATGTGCAGAACATGCAACTCTCATCCACTCCAAAACGCCGGTCTCACTCTCAGTGCAGCCTCGGCGTTCGGCACCCAGTGCCGTGAGGAAATCAGCAGCTGCTTGGTTTTCGGAGTCTACCACTGCCTCAGCAAGCGCCGGGCTTTTTTGATGCAAACATCCGAAGAGTGACCACCATGACTTGGTGAGAAAGGTGTTGAGAACTCATGGGTGGCGACCCACATGGATGACGAAGTCTTCCTGAAAAAAAAATCTCTCAGGTTGGAGGCCATTGCTATTCGGTTCCTTAAGGTCATCTTTTTAAGGTCTTGACAGAACACGCACTGACTGGCAGTCTTTTGGACAGGTTACCCACGCGCTGAAGGGATCTTTGCCTGGACTCGGTACGCTCTGCTGTTTGTGGTCGACTCGTGGATTCCGACCCAGCAAGAAAGCAAACAAGCAAATATGCAAAAAATGACGACAACAACCAAAAGACAAATCAATACGAAGCCTTTCCTATCTAGAGTAACTTGCTTTAATCCGAAAACCAAGTCGCTTCTACAAGTGCCATGTTGTCTGCATAAATGCCCTGATCACAGAACTTGAGGTGCTTGCAGAGTTTGAGATACCCCCGCAATCCCAACCTGGTTGCACTATCTAAAATTGTAAATACTCTTACCCTAAGATTTAATGAATCCAACCGCGGTCTCACTCCGACTCGACCTCCCACAGCTGACTGAAACAATTATGGGTTTCGAGTAAGTCTAGTGTTTGGATGATACTATAGGATGTTTTGGGTGTGTTTTCTTTGCTTCTCGCACTGGATGGCAGGTAATAGAGTCGAGGTCATCTACGGCACCTGATGTACCGCACTTCGCACCGCGCTTCGGACCCCACGCGACCTCCTGGGAGCCGATGGAGCAACTCCTCGACAAGAGCACGACCCAAACCTTGCCGGCGGAACTCAGGTTTGACCTCGGTCTCTGTGAGATGTACCTCCCATCCTTTGGCCAATGTTTTGGTCAGTTTTGGTCTTTGGTGGGGTGAGCATTGTCACATTGTTAAATTAGACCAGATGTGTTTAATTGTATATATATATATACACATGTGTGTGTGTGACATGTGTATGTCTATATGTGAATCTATCTATCTGTCTGTATTTCTTTATCTCTGTGTAAATGACAGAACTTCCAAAAGTTTAAACGGGGTGAGTCGAGGAAGTGATTATGGTTTATTGCGTCTGTGTCACTTGACCTTTCGCATGCTTTCGCCAAGATGCCAGGACCGTGTTGATCACCTCAGCTGAGCGTGTGGTTGATTTGCATTGTCAACTCAGTGTTGGCCGCAACCCCACGGCCTCAAACTGCCTCAAAAGCCTGAGTGCACCTTATCTCAATTCCGAGTGCAGCATTGCGCAAAGTGGCGAAGTCACACCGCAGCACGAAGTAGCCACCAACAGCTAAGCGACCTAGCTGCGCACAAGCAACGATGTCCTGAAAGAGCCACAATGAAGCAGGGTGAAGTGCAGTGAGATGCAGAATGATGCAGTGCAAAGCTTGCCTCCTCAACAGAAGCCAGAACATACGAGGCATAGCCCTGGCCAAACCTGAGCAAGCCAATGTGAGCAAGTCTTTTTGCTGCCAAGGGGATAGCTTAAACCCCAACGGCTGTTCATGCCAGCCAACTTATGACCACCACAGATCAGTACAAATCCAAGCCGCAAACGTTGCAAGGCAGCCGGCTCTTGCAGGTCACCTCGGCGCTGATGCGGCGACAGTTTGCTGTGGAAGTGGCCGCAAGATCCTGTCGCTTCGAATCCTTCAACACGTGTCATGCAACAACTGCCAGCTGCTGCAAAACTAAGTGAGAAAGTCCCCTCACCTCTGCTCACCTTGAGTTTTACTTTGTTTTGTTGCGTTTGAGTCACCTCAGCTATCTCCGAGCCAACTCACTTGGCATCGTTCGGCCATTATTCATTGACTAACAGCGCATGCTATGGGAAAACAAACTAGCCATGTGGTGCCACGAAGGCCTTTTATGATCCTGAAGCAATTTATTCTGAATCCAGCGCAACTTGTTTGAGAGCGTGTGCCAAAGAAACCCAGGCAAACGTACCAGCTAACGTTACCAAACAATCCAGCTGCAAACCATGCAATCCAGCTGATGGAGTGTTTTAAAAGCGTGAAATCAAGGGATGGCAATGTGTTCCCCGTCCACCGCAATTATGCTAGCTGCTGGCGAAGGTGGCGGACACCGGGTGAAGGGGGAATTCACAGAACTACCCAGCATGAATGGAAATGATCATTAGATGCATGGAGAGCAGGCCAGCCAAGCAAACGAACAAAGGGAGGCAAGCAAGGTGTGGGAGGCAGGGAAGGACCTGGGCAGGGAGGCAGGGAATCCCCAAATGTGAAAGAATGCATGCCCAGTCGCCATTCGCTTCTCGCAGCTTGTAGACCTCCTCAAGGTCTTCCTGAAAGGAGTTGGACGGAATCGAAAAATATATGAAGAAAAGTTGTATCAATAAGGATTGGCTTTGGGGTTGCTTTGTGACCTTCGGACAGTGAAATCCTTTTGACAACCATGGTGGTGTCAGAAGGCTCCTTCGGCTTCGGCTTCTTTCATTTCTTGATTTCTTGATTGCTTCCTCAATTTGTTCCACATGTTTGTGGTCTGCCACCTGCATCACATGTGTGAATTCGCATATATATGTATATCTACATATGTCTGAGTTCAAATGCCTTTTCTTGCCTCCATCTTTTGTGTTCGGAGGGGACCATTCCATGCCCGAATTTGTCAATCCTCGCCCGGCCGCAGCAAGCGTACCTTGGAAGGCTGCAGTCTATTTGAAGGGTCGACCTAGACAAACATGCCCACTGCTGTCCAAAATCAAGATGAACCTCAATTGACCAGCCAGGTCGCAGTCCATTCTCTGCCGCGGCCAGCTCGTATGCTGTGGCGCTGCCTTCGCCCTAAACCTTTAGTAGCATGGCCTGGGTGGGATGGCTGGTCGACTATGACAACTCAGTGGGGCAGGCCTTTTACAATAGTAGAACATGTGGCGCTCTTCTGTGCTGCCTGTGTCTTGGAAGATGCTTCACAAACCGCGTAGGACAGATCCAGGTGGAGAGACTGAGGCTGTCGTGGAACCACTCTCTACAAATACGTTGCAACTGTGCATAAATATTGGTGAATTGATGCAGATTGAATAACATTATTGTCAATATTGTACAGTACAATTACTTAGTTCAAACCACTTGTATTATATCGACGGTGATGCCTGTGAACTTGTGCCAACTCCAACCCAGTCGCGATAGGCAGAGGTGCCCCAAAAAGCTGTCCTTGAGTCAACTCAGTGCAACTTTCTGTAGGGACCCGAGTGACTTGGAGAAAGAACACTCATCGCATAAAGGCCATTCTCACGAAGCCTCAAAAGCATCCATTGCTCAGCTCAGTCACGGCCAAACCACCAAAGCTAAGAACAGTAGTTGCAGCGGTTGGAGTGAGCGCAAAGCCTGGAAGAGACAAATCGACCTGGTGAGTGGTACCTATAGTGGCTATGGCGTAGTTGCTATGGAGGATCCATTTTTCGGGAGGTTCTTTCAGCTCGGGGCCTTCAGAAACACCCGCCAGGCCTGCCAGGCTGGGGTCAGTCCACTGGGTCTCGAGGCCATGGCCGCAGGAGCTGTTTGAGGATGTAAAGAATTATCTGATGAAAGTTCCAATGCAAATACTCTTGTTCACAGTGCCATGCAGATTGACCTCTGGTATGCTTTGGCTGCCTCCTTTGGTGCTTCTCCGGCACCCACACAAACAAGTCAAAATGTTAGCACAGTCTATGGTAAGCGATGCGCGATGCAAGCAAAGTTTGTAAATTGACAGCATCTTCATTTGGATCTGGGGCACGCTGGCCATACACCTCATCCGCTCAGCCCAGTGCTGAGCAAGCTTGAGACTGAGATCTCTGAAGGAAGCCATTGATCATCTGAGATCATGTCCCTTGAAGTCATGCGAAGGCCATAGGACCAGGGCCAGGCTTGAAGATGCTCGGGGACATCGACCCCCGCTCCTGGGAGGTCAAAGAAACCTCGATTGTCAGCTTTTGGCTCAGATCATTGCCTCGGATCATAGCGAAGCAAGCGAGGCAAGCGAAGCACGAGACTCTTCGGAGCGTGTTGATCAAAGCTGAAAGAATCGCCGCAAAAGTCAGCCAACGCCAACAAAACACAATGAGAGGATACCCAGAGCAAAATGTATATGCATTTTGCCCTCTAAGAGAAACAGTAACCGCAGGCAAAAAGGGTACAGTGGCCGTGCTTCTTCTTGGGAACTCTTCCCAACCACCTGTCTAAAAAACATTGCTAGGGCGGCTGAATCGAGGTGTTTGCTATTATCTATTATATATCCCCATAGTCCCTGCCATTCGTTTGAGCCAACTCTCTGTTGTAGCCTACCTGAGCCCTATTGTGCCCCCTGAGCCTCCTTCCGTTGTTACCTGCCCCAAACAACAAACTTGAGCCCGGAATGCCCGAATGCTGAATGCCTGCCAACAATGACTGCACCCTTTGCGAGATGATTGGTGTGCAGCAGGGCTCCCTAGATGAGCCGCCTGTCCTCTCTTGTCCTCTCTGCACACAAGTGGCCAACATTTAAAGTGATGTCCTGTGCGAAGGCGTCCAACACCACAATCCTCGGAGTCGAAAGGACAGTAGACTCAGTAGACCTTCCAAATCAGCACGTGTATGACTCCAAGTTGAATAGAACATTCAAAAGCTCATGTCTTCTTCCTCGCAGTTGCAGCTCCTAGCCCCAAAGTTTGCCTGCTCCACCGAAGCAACAAGGGCTGAGCCAGCTGCATGTTGTCTTCAGCGTTCACCCGATCAGAGTTGGGAAAGACCTGCTCAGAGGGGAGGACCAAGGCTACCATCGTGGGAGATTATCAGCGTCCGAGAGCTTCAGCTTTGCTAACTATCTCTCTTCCCTGTCCAAGTCTTCTCGTGTTTTGGCTCTCAATCTTGGGAAAGGCCAGGCAGTGAAAACACTCTTGCGAAATTGAATATAAGAAAACACACACACCTTTGTGATCTCTTCAATCCATGTCCATCTCGTGAAGAAGGATATTCTGACGTCCGATGCTTCTCTCAGGCCTGACTCATGGGCTTCTCTCGCCTTCGGCTCCGGTCCAGCTTCGCCGGCTCAGTCACCTGCACCAGGGGGGCCCGCGTCTCATTCAAAGTCAGCTAGTCAAAAACAACAAAACTCTGTTTCCTAGAAGATCTGGAAGGTACCGTTTTTTTTTGCGAATGCGCCCAAGTGTTTTTCAGACTCCCAAGGCAGCACCTGTTCCGTGGATTGGGAAGCGCATGTGCCCGCTTTTGATATTTTTTGGTGGGCCAGGCATGGCCAGGCCAAAAGACATATACTGCATACGCATATTTTTTCAGCGCAGATACTACCCCGAGAAGGCCCTTCTTGGCAAGATAGATGTTTGGGGAGTGTTCATGGCAAACACAACTGCAAAGGGACTATCTTATGGACAGCAAATCCTTCCCCACTGGTAAGTGCGGCTGGAACCAAAAGTAAGTCGAAGCTGCATGTGTGTGTGTGTGTGTTACCTACGTCAGTTTTTTTGGGGTGTGCTCATTGGTGGGCATATACAAAAACGGTACAGTGTTTTCCCAGTCGGAGGGGCAGCTTTCATGACATGGATGACGTCATGAACATCTGGGAAACATTGGGAAACAATCTTGTAAAATCAAGGAAAGCAACCCGCATACTCTGGTAGCCAACAGGTCTGCACCTTCATCTCGCTACAGGACGAGAAGTAGACTTGCACCTGCCAGCGCTGAGGGACAAGCAAACCGTGCTAGAACATTGTCACACAAAGCAGGAGGCTGCATGCTTGGAATGGGCTGGCCCTCGAAGCTAATGAGTATAGATCCCCGTCCCCAATGCTGCAACATCATGCAGTGCAATTTCCTGACAACGCCTATAGTTATAGATATATGGTATTATATAGTATGCATATATACATTTACATATGTGTATTGTATTCATGCAACTCAAGAGACTCCGAGATGGACTTAGTCTCGGTGGTCTCTAGCCCTCTGTGCGCTCAATGGGTGTTTAGCCCTCTGTCACCCATCTCGGTCCGTCGTTTCGACTGCCCGGCAGGCTCGGGCCACACGGAATAGTGGAGTCTCACTTTGCTCGCCTGCTGGTTCAGGCTCTCACCGTTCTTCCCAATGCCACTGAACTCTGGAGCTTTCGACCAGACTGACCTGAGGCTTGATTTTAAAAAGAACTGTGCCTTGTGTGCATTCAAATGCATCTACAATGTACATGGGGCATGGCGGCATGGTGGCTAATGGCGAAGCTCATCAAAGCACAAAAGCACGTTGTCCAATGACAACTAACTCGTTCACCAGACCTTTTTGGATCTATACTATGGCTACTATGGATTCTTACTCCATGTCCTGCGCACCTTCCACTTGCAATTAGTGCGACAATGGCCGCCACACACTCTGACCCCCATGAGATCCGCACAATTTGTTCCATTGCCAATTTAGGACACACCTCTGAGGCTTGTGCAAGCAAATCCTCTTGAACCTTGGCTGATGAGAGGACTGTGCAGGAATGGTCTGCGAAATCACAGGTGCGAAAGGAGTGACGAGAACTCTCTTCCAAAACAAACACAAGTGAAATGCATGACTTGGCAATGCTGGGTGCATGGCTTGATAACCATGCTTGGCTCCTGGAGGATCAGACTTCTCTGACTCTCAAAGAATCTCAGCCTCTGGTGACTCTCTCTACTCCGATGAACTCGGATTCGAACTCAGCCAGCCTTGGAAAGGACGACGCAGTGCTCCTTCAAAAAGTACTTGAAAGTGCTGGGCCTTTTCTGCACGAGATGCACCGGCATCGAAAGGGAAACACTAAGAAGCTGTCCAGCTCCAATGTCATTCTTGAGGATCCATATCACTCCCCAGCCATGCACAGCCCCAGAAGAAGAATCCCAACCATACAAGTAGGAAAGAAACAAGCAACAAATGTTATTGGCTTCGGGGGCCCCCAGAGACCGCCACGCCCTGCTTGGCCGGGGCCCCAACGGCAGAATGCCACACAAGCCTCCAAATCGGCTTCACGTCTGGGTTCTAATTGTTCAATATCATAACCATTTTTGCTATTATATGTTATATAATATAATATATTGCATTGAGCAGACTGTCAGAAAAGCAGTCTTCTTCAATATTTGCCTGTTGCTCTTTCTGGCCGGTTGCACCTTCCTGAAAGAAGAATCAGCTTAAGATTGATCTCTTAAAGGCCGCAAAATCAATCTCAAAAGCCTCGCCAAAGCAGTAAGGGCAATTCCGTAAATCTCCTGTGCTGAATGGGTGCCATGGGCGAGGGACGAGGACTGCATGTTCGTCATAGCATCAAATGTTGCCAAAAGACCAAGTGAAACGCTCTAAATCAGGTCATGGTCCACGCAGAGGTCCGGCAGGACTTGCGCCTTTTCAATTATATCAGGCCTGCTTTGAATTTTGCAGCTTTTCTCCGGGGTTTTGCGTTGTGCCGTCGAACAAACACATTTAAAGTGCGCGTTATTCTACCAACTCGGTCCCGTTTCTACAAGAATTAGATGTTGTTGTTTGTTTTGGGACCCTGAAACCCAAACTGGGAATCGCTAACTTTCAGGCGAAGCACAACAAACCTCACCACTTGGCCCCACCCCACCCACACTAGACAGCACTGGGCATGACGCAGCATCATATGTACAATGATGACCCAACCGACAAAAACCACAAAAACCACGGGACTGCTAGACAAACCGTCAGCAACAAATAAGCCTTGCAGAAGATGGAACCTTCTCACGCAGGAACATTCTCAAAATTATCAATGTACAAGTTCTTCTGCAAATTAGCTTCCAGTTCAACTAGCTAGTGTAGTGACAGGGCGTAGGCCAAAACCAGGCAGCAAGTTCACTTTCACAAGCCCTGCGCAGTCCGTTTTCGCTCGATGCTGGTGGGCATAGACCAAGCGGAGGCCTAGTCAAGGTAAGTTTTGGAGATGCTTATCATCATGTTCTGCTGGTGTTTCGTGTGTTGCGAAATCAAAGGTCATCACTGCGCTCCCCGGTGCTCTGCTGGTCTCCTTTCCACTGAGCATTCAACTCCCAAGACCTCGCCCTTGGCGCCATAGGCGGTGACCTGCCAACGGGGGAAGAAAAGCCTCCGCTGTACTGGATTTGCCTGGAACTGGCACAGCTCTTAAAGGGCGCTTGCTTTTCTTTCTGCTTTGTCCTTCCTTTTAACATCATATAAATATGTAAAGACCTTGTTCTTGATACCTTTTGTTCTTGGTTCCTCTATACGTTTGTTCTCTAGACATGTTGTTTATTGAATAATATTGATCTTTCTTTAGGCAGTGCTTTTTCTTTGGGCCTCTTTTCTGTCCTTCATGATTCTTATTGAAGGTTCTTCTATTGACCTGTTTTCTGTTCTTCTTTACTTGTTTCTCTTCAAGCAGTGTCTTTTGCGGTTTCTCTTACTCTTGTTGTTTTTCTTTATATTTACGGTGTTTTTTGTGTTCCCTGTTTCTTCAATGTTATTTTGAAAAGTGTCCCGTTTCTCTTTTCTTTAAGACTCTTTTCAGCTTTCATTGGACCTCCTTGTGTTGTCTTCACACATAGTCTAATGGTTTGTGTCCCTTTTCCTTCCACTGGCCCTGCCTGGAACTGGTAGGGTCGTCCGCTTTTCAAGGGCGCTTGTTCCTCGACACGAGCCGCTCAAAGGACATTGTCTCACCGTGTCACATCGTGCCGCCCCGGTGGATGAAAAAGAAGTTCACCGGGGAAGAACGAAGACGACACATTGGACATCAACTTGCAGCCGTAACTTCCGCCATCGGTTTGATTGGAGCATGATTTTGTGCCCAAACTCACACCCATCGAAGTCCCCCGAAACCCCACATTGGGCCAGTGACAATCGGCTCGGGTCCTGATCAGTCTGCAGCATGCCTGGGTCGACCAACTGCACCCACGACAAAGAAGACACCAAAACGATCTCGAGATATATATTCTTGACAACTTGAGGCACGTACGCACTCACAAAACACTATGACATAATTAAGACTATAAATATCATGTCAGCTCATGCACCTGCTAGCGGCATTCCATCCTTCGAAGGTTCGTACAAATGCCAAATCCATGAGAAATCTCCATGTGCAGGGCTACGGTCCCGGTCCCGGCCATGGGACAGAAAGCGTGGAAAGAACGATCTGCTCATTCGAGCGCAACACGTTTCTCGTCTCGTCAACCGCTGTGATGTCGCTGTTACGTGGAAGTAGATGGTTGGAAGACCACTTTCCTCTTTGAACAGTAGGGAGTCCACCTCGATGTTAGTGAGTCAGCGTGTAATCTTCTTCGTCCTGTTCCTCCTCCTCTTTCATCCTCTTTCTCTCCCTCTCTCACCTCTGTTGTTCTTTGCGGCTTCCGTTGTGGTTGCAATCAGTGGTTGTCGCAGTTTGTCATGTCGTGTCTTGTCCTTTTGCTGTGGGTGTCGTTGGTGTTCGATGTTGCTGTTGCTGATGCTCATAATTCCATCACTCAATTACATCACCACCTAAACATACAGCGATCTCAAAAGGACCGTCACAAATTCAAATCCATGTATATACTGTATGTAATTAATGTATATGTTATGTTATACACAAGGGCTTCTATCCTGTATTTATTGCAAGCCATCTCTATGACTCTATGATCTCTTGTGAGGAATTGTGTGATGCTGCAGGCACATGTGACATGGGAGACCACGCCCAGCGCTGCGAGCTCCGCATTGAAGGGATCCGGAAATCTGAAGGAACGCCTGAGCAAAGCAATGTCAAACCGAAGAAAGGGAAGGAGAGAGGGAGAGACAATGACTAAAATGGGAGAGATGAGGAGAGCGAAAAGCATGATACCGGTGTTATGAAAGTGACCACAGGGCCCCCGCATGGTAGCCGCGTCCTCCAGCCCATCCACCAAGAAAAGGAAGCATGTTTGATCTGGCAGATCCTTCGAGCTGAGTGGCTCGTCTGATGTGATTCAATCGCATCAAACCAAACATCAAGCGATAAGCAATGTCTTTCCTATTGATTCCACAAGTGGCTCCTGGACCCATCATCACGTCATCTGCTTTCACTTCGGTTTCTCTAAGAATTCTCTGTTCAAGACTCAAGACTTGCAAATCCGCCAGTGCTCTCCCTGAACCTTCTAGTCCTCTTGAACTGATCAACCAAAAAGGAAAAAAGCGCACACACACACACACCAAGCAAAGACACACAAAAATCGCCCCCAGGCCCCCAGGTCCGGATAGGCCGGCAACTTGTTGATTTCGATGCGCTTGGTGCGGACCATGCCCATACAGCCCTGCCCAGCTCTTGTCCCATCATTTGCCGAAAGGAAGGGTTCCCAGCTACTGAAAGCAATTCGTCGGTGAGCTTGTGCCATCATGCTCAATGGAAGCATCAAGGCTCACGGATTCCGAACAACTAGAATTCATGCTTCATCTGGTCTTTCCTCAAGCGATATCAAGCTCCGAGGGAGGCGAAACGTGTCTTGGCGTTGTCTTGTTGGACAGCTCTTGCGGACCTGTAGATGAAGCAAATTCCACTAAAACCCCGCAGCAATGCATTGAAGCGTCGAAAGTCGAAAGTCGATCTGAAGAGGCCGAGACCCAGCCTCCACTGGCTTGCCGTCTGGCCACATCCTGGCCTCAAACCCGCTGGTTTATTGGAGGATCAGATTCTTCTACAAACAAACGCATACTATGATTTGGTGTTGTGGCAGGCAGCACCGCTAGTTTTGCCAAAAACGCTACACTCCAGGCATTTCATTGACCTACGAATGACTGGAAAGACAGGCTCCGAAAATGATGGATGCAAGACGCATGTCCACCCAATGGCCGCAGGCACGCATCTATCTGAGAGCTTCTGGCAGTGAAGCTCATGCTGTGGAACCTGAGGAAACTCGTTGGTCACCAGCAGTCTGCAAGAAATATGCACAAGAACATGAAAAAGCCTGCCCCAAGGACTTAGATGTATTACCGTATGTGCAAATACTCCAAAAGAAAGATCCCCTATACCCATACAACTTCCCTCTTCCCGAAACCAACCCCCTGTCGGGGAAACTCCTTCAGCCGTGGAACTGCATGGCATTGGGACGCGGCCCCCAGCGAAGCAAAACCTCAGCGGTCTGAGATTTGCCGTGTTGCTACTGCACTTGTTACTTTCCAGCTAAGCTGAATCAAGGAAAGGAAACGCTTGTCGAAAACATGTGACAAATCAGGACACCTGCTTAGCAGCTGCTGATCAAGCACCTGAATCGTTGAAGAGCACAACGGTCTAATCTTGCTGAACAACCAAAGCCAAATAATTGAACCGCCTTCACACCCAATCCATCCCCAACTGCAATTCCTCATTAACTTCGTTAACGAGGTATACAACCAGCGCATGCAACCTGGAGCCGTGGCCAGTGCCGAGCGCCCCGGCGCCTCTCAAGGGCCAATGCACCATGGAGGCACTGAGAACCCAAGAACAGCTGTCCTTGGAGTCTAACCTGGCCCCGGCTGTCCAAGAGTTCATGGGAGGCTGCTCGGAGGTGAACCCGAGTCGAACTGCTCAAAACACCACTGGAGACCTTGGGAGGAAAACATGATTCAACAGATTTCCTGTCTGGCTTGGGCACTGCTGATGGGAAGATCCTGCCATCAACCAGATCTTCGCCAGAGGCGGCCTCTGCTTCGAACACCACATAGTAGGGAGAAACAAACCTGCCTATGTGAATGTCCCCAGAATCATGACCTTGTAGGTGGGTAAACATTTGCTGCTCTAGGTCGCCTTCCAAACTCATTGCAGGCCGATGTATTAAGCAAAGCTAGTGTAGTGGGGAAGCCTATAGGCAGAGCTTCCAACATCGAATATATTGACTGCCTGCAAGTTGAATGAGGAATTGTGCCACCACTATACAGGATGATAATTGATGTCTTTGTTGAATTTGCCTGCTGTGTAGGGTACTACCGGTACTACCTCAGACCTCTGTCCAACCGCAGAAGAATGCGCACAATTGTATTTTTTGCAAAGCAAATTTGGTTCCTTGAGCAGGCTGGGCACCATTGGACACATGCTTGACTGTTGCGGATTCTGCCGCCCCGCCTGTAAGAGGAAGTGATCATGATCCCGTTCCTCTGAATATCGGTGCGTAGCCATGGGATCACCTCGGCATCGGTCTATGCTGGCCACTCGTAGGCTCAGTTGCGGTCACAGAGCAGCAGCCCCTGATTCAACATGATATCCCCCATGCGGCAAATGCATGATGTACAGGTGGCCCACCCACTTGGAACATGCGTTTGGAAGGCCCAGGGCGCCTCTTTGGAAGGTGTTTCAAGCAAAAAAGAACTATGTACATCCTTGATCCATAGGATTCTCTTTGGTCGGTCGCACTGGAGATGTGCGGAAACTGGCGATGTGAAATGCCTCCATGAAGCACTCACTGATGAGCAAAACCCAAATGTGTGCACATGAGTTGGGTAGTTTAGGCTTTAGGGTTTACATAGATTTTTAAGGTATATAGATCCCACCCCACTAGTTCTACTAGAAAAGATTTAACTCTTCTACTAGAACATGTTGAAATTGCGCGTGTTGTTTTTAACTTCAACATTTTCTAGTTGGTGTCCTTTTGTGTTTGACTAGGACCAAGAAGGGGCCCAGTCAGACACGGCGGCTGTAAGCGAGGAAAAGGTCCTAAGTGAACGAACGAATGACTGCTAAAGGTTCACTTCATAGAGGACAGCAGCAGCATCATAAAGCCTTTCATTTGTACGATGGGTTTCTCTACTAAAATTGAAAGGCTTACCATAAAATAACTAACTTTAACATGACAATTCATAAGCTGATTTAATGGTGGACCAGATTTCCTTCTCGTGAGACCTTCCTGGCGGTTGAACTCAGAGAATGATTCGCTAGTACACGGTCAACCGCCAGGCCAAGAGCAAGGGGGCCCGAGATGCAAGAAGGGGGCCATCTGTCTCTTCCTGTGGCACCCGAGTCAGTGAGGGTGCTCAGGGTCTACCCAAGTCAGGCCGTTGGCTTCTTCGTAATCAAGGATGGTCGAAGTAATGCCAACGTGAAAGGCCTGACAATCCCACCTTGATTTTTCCTGATTCGACCTTATGATTTTGATTAGAAAAATCCAAATACTTTAAAATAATAAGGTGATGTAGCATAAGGACACCACTAGATTTGGAGAGTAATGCATGATTTTGGGGCCATGGCTCCACACAGAGAACTCTGAGGCATGCACGAGGAAATTGATCAGCAAAACCACCTGAGATGTGTCTGTGTCAGTCTAGCCCAGGAAAAAACAACTCTGTCACCAGTGTGCACCCAAAAATGCAAATGGAAAATGTTACAATACGGTCCTTGCGGCATTTCTTTGAGTTGCAACGTGAACGCCAGAATGCAAGGTCTCGGACACTTGTCAGTTGTCCCAACTCAAGAGAAGGAGTTGACGAGGAGTTTAGATTCATGGATGGCTTTTTGGGGCTGCACGTTGTCACGTCCGAGGCTATGTGTTGGATTTGCGGTTGGTTTGATGCATCGCGCAATGGCTTCCAAAGGAAGTCAAATACTGTGCACCTTCCGCAGACCAAGCCCTTTTTAACCGCTGCTCTGTATCATGGAGACAGCCAAGCCAATCAATTAAAGGTTGAACATTGTCATCGTCTTGGCTGCAGTGCAGGAGGAAAATCATCCAATGACTGATGACAAGCATCCGGGATGGACATGCAGGGTCTTCAAAAAAAACATGCCACTGGTTACGTTTGCAAAAAGGTCATCGTCGGATACTTTTGGGCCTGAACCCAGTAGAATTTTCCGAGTGTGCCGTTTTCGACATCACATAAGCTTCAGTCAGTGAGATGTACTCAGCCCGCGTCGAGGTAGTCATGCAGGTTTGAAATAGCTGCATGACGAGTTTAAATCACTTCATCCAAATCCGTATTGTCCAGCAAGGGGTCGTCGTACCTCAGTCTCTCAGGGGAGGGTCACCGAGGCCGGTCTCTCCGACCACGTGTGATGGCAAGCTGTGGCTCCTCCATGTGCCGTATCTTCAACAGGGTTACAGCCAAGCCGGCCATGAATGTGGCCATCAACTTACAGTAACTGTCCCAGCTGCAAGTGGTACACGTCAATGGAGTCACCCAAGTGCTTCTTGTAGTCCACATTCCTAAGTCGCTTTCGGATCCTGCAATGACATTTAGGAAGTCACTTCTGACATCTCGCGCTCATACCGCTCATACTACCGCTCATATAATCCGTTTCAGAGTCGAACATGCCTCTACTGCGGCCGCATGCCAAGGCAGGACACTTGCCAAAGATTATCCGTCATAAACCCTGGGACAAAATTATATATGCGGTCTGAAAGATACTCTGAAGTTGTCTGGAGTCATGATGAGAATTTTGCATCGGGGTATATCAATAAATACAAGTACAGTAGGATACTAATGTCATATGTGATTAATGGATGTACCACAAGCTCGATTGCCATAAGCCTGGCCAAAGAAAGTTGCCCAAGACTAGAGGTTGCCGCCTTGCTGCCCTACGGGCATGTGCAAGAGGTTGCAACAAGACGAGAATGCAGAGGCAACACTTTTTCAACCCCCAGCCCTTTGTATCCTTATCCAAGAAACCATCCCACAAACAGGCCACGATTAACAGAGACAATACACAAAAACAATACTGATCAATATGGACAATAATCAATGCATATATACTACATATATACAGATTTGATCAGATCCGATTTTGCTACTGCATGCCTATGACTGTGGACACGTTTGAATTGGATGTCCCACATCTGCCATCTCCTTCTCCCCATCGCCCTCGCCCCGACTGTGCCACTCATTTGGCTCCAAACGTCAGCCTCCGCAGGATGCCATCGGCTGGGGAGAAGACCATAGCATGGACTCGCGGCAGGGCGCCTCGGCCAGGACGGGCTCTTCTCATGTGGCCCAAACAATTTCGGGTCTTGCGAAAAGTTCACGTGATTCCCCGCTAAAACTCTCATTAAACAATTAAGTTAGTGTGCAAAAAGAAAATAATGCGTGCTTTGATGACCTGCTGCACGAAAGATCACTAAGCTAGATCGAACTAACTGTCAAGTGTAACCGTGACTCCATCGACCACATCACAGGATATCCAACATAGGGTCGAACTCATGCCCTCAAATCTCCCAAGTAGTGCTTGCTCAACAAAAATTGAACATTCTCACACAGTCTCCAACATTCCAACTGCACTCCCAAAAACAAAACATAGAAACCGGCAGACCAACTAATTTCTTCAGAAAGTTCTAACCACCCGACTTTCCCACATCCATATCCATCCATATCCATCCATCATCCCACCCGGCTTCGCCCTGCGCCCGCCCTGCCGAGGCGCAGCCAAACTCCTCGGGCCGCGAGGCGGTGTATCGCCGGCGGCTTTGGATGTCACCTGGGTCGTTCTCGCCGAGGTGATCGACCGGTTTTCGCCAAGTCGATGCCCGTGCCACACAAGCAAAGTGGACCGGTTGGCTCTTGGAATGGGCTCCAATAGCCCTCAAGACTTCGTGAAAAGAAAATAGGTTGATCTCAAGAGACCGGCATCAGGGAACCCTTTCAGTGTTGGTCATACTGGTCATAATTAGGGAATATAAGGTGTGTATGTCTGCACCTACCAATTTGTAGGTTTGCATTTAAAAGGTAAGTAATATAACTATATATACATAATTAATTGTACTGTACATATCATATCCGTTTATAAAGCTAATATAATCTTGTACCTCGCCAACAAATAAATACACTCGTCGAGCAAAATCACCAATCCCTTGAGGCGCGGTGCTGGTTTTGAAGAGATTCAGGCACTGCTCGATGACGTTCAACTCCACCATGCGCTTGTGGCGCTCATCAGGGCCTCGGTGTTTCACCGACGGGCATGATTCCGGTTTAGGTTTGGCAGTTGGTTTTTGAAAAAGTCCCTTGTTGGTACTATAGCTGTTCATGGCCGGTTTGGCCGTCAGTTCCCGCGCCAAGTTGCAGTCAATCGCATCCAGCTCTTCTCTGTGGAGCCGGTAGACGTCCCGAATCCTGGGGGGTTCGTCCCTTGCTTGGCAGCTGAAGCTTTTGAAGTGACTGAAGATGATTGAGCCAATCATTCAAGGTACTGGCCTAGAAGTCGATTTCAAGAAGCCCAGCTCTGCGAGCACTCTACATGGATGTTAGAATCCAAGCAGTTATTCAATGTGACGGGCTACGCAACTAGGGTGTTTCTTCAAAGCCTGATGAAGGTTTTCCCAAGGATCCCTGAGAGCCAACTCTCGAGAGGCAGCGCATGATCTTTCACAGAGCAAGCCGCTTTGATGCCACCACCTGGGGCGTTGGTGAGATTTAAGACCCATGGAGCAGCTTCGATTGCGTGGGAAGGATTGGGCCAAACTAAACCGTCGCCCAATTCCAATGAAAGTCATGCAATCTTGAGGTGATCCAAACGTCTACATAGCCGGTGCAGGAAAAATCATCATCAAAAAAACTTTGTATCTCCCAGTTGGCTTGGAACATGGTTCCAAGCTGAAGGATTCCGAAGGTCAATGAGATGCACTGAGAGCAAGACAATCGTAATGGCCACAAACCTAAGATGGCTCAATTGAGACTCAAACAGCTAAGCCCGAAATCGCCCACAAGCCCCCGAACTGGCGGCCAAACGACCTCACCTTCTTCGGCTGGACTTTCGGTCAAAACAGGTCAAAAGACCAATGGACCAAGGAACGATGATGTGACGCACTTGCAGCACATCCACTGCATACTGTAGCACAGAGCGAAAATTGGTATCCGTTGCCACCACCATATTGGCGATGTTACCTGCACACACTGGGCAGTGGCCCGCAACCAGCCACCTAATTACTGAGCTAGTGGGTGAGCTACTCTGACATGTCAGTAGCTACTCGGCTACCTATACCTTGCCGACGGAAGCGAAAAGCATGCAGCATACTGAGAAAGTCGAACCTTTTAAGTCTATATCCACTGTGTCTCAGCCATCACAGCTCCCGCATGCGCCTACCATGTTTCAACCTAGGACCTAGGTGTCAAGCACCCCACTCAAGCGCAGAAGAAAAACTCATGGAAACTCTTGATCTCTTTCTGGCGTCTAGCAGGCAACAACGCAACAAATAAATAGCTTGTTTGCAAGGGGCAGCTTCCAGGACCAATGCCATCCACTTCCATGTTTGTTAGATACAGAACACGGATGATATATTATATACATATATACAATATTGTAAGATTGTACAATAGAGGCGGTAGTCTGGGCTGAATGTCGTCCAGGTTGCGGTGCGTAAACAGCTCTCCGGGCTTTCCACCAATCAAGTTTTCGGCGGCCACGCGGCTGTCTGCACCTCACGCAGAGTCACACAGTGACTGCGAAAAGGCCGGTGCCGCACGGATTTTCTGGATTCCTCGCCAAGGCACACCCGATCCAAAGGTACTTTGGTGCTTGCCCCTAACGAGCAGCAAGCACGTGGTGACAGGAAAAACTGTGATCGTATGCAACAAGCATGTATGCCGTTCCAAAGCTTCATCGTTCACTGGTCATCTCCCCCTCATGAACTGAATCATTGGATACATTGTGACAGGCAAACAGCACTGCCCACCAGTACCACAGCGGTACCACAGACCACAAAATGAACATGCAGCTTAACTGAACTGTGCCTGGCCGATGCGTTTGAAGAACCTCGGAAGCACACAAAATCTTCACCGCACACCCAGCTCAAACGGTTGGCTGCCCTGATGCCATCTGATCATTAATGACCATCATGCTCCAGTGTGCAAGGGTAAGGAATGATTGGGCAGTCTGAATCATTGAAGACCCACCTGCATGGTGTCTTTGTGTGCTCGAAAGAGGTTCTTGAGTTGGGGCGCCACAAGTTGCCGTGGATGAGCTGACCCTGGGAACCCTGCAGTTTCATGGTGCGAAACACGATGTTTAGACTCCAAGCATGTCAAAGCCAAGGATCTCAGGGTCCGCTTTCAAGGTTTCTTTCTGCCAGGCTTTGTTGCGATCACCAAGCTCTCCGACCTACCAATCCAGCCACCGAGCCGCTCGAGCCGCTAGAATGGGCTTCGGCTGGGCCATCCCTGTGTCTTGCCTATTGGCTGTAACATGCTGTAACAGCGAGCACAATCTAGAGCACCAAAAATGGCACGGTGAAAAACGAAAAAAAGAAAAGAAAAAACACTCCCGCCTTGGTTTCATTTTAAGGGCCAACCTTTCTTTGACTCACCCCTCCCCCAAACATCAAACACGAAGATGAGCCCAACCTCGGCATCGACCAGCTTTGCAGCGTTGGTACGCTCCATGTGGTCATTGAATTCCCACAGCGCCTGCAAGGATCTGAGAACAACCCAAACGAAGGTGACCAGAAAAGCTGACGGTGAATCCGTGATAGTTGCTTTTATATGGTTACATGGTTGGACCATGTTGGACCAGACAAAAAAAAGCGTAGCTCTGGACTCTGGACCTGTATGATTTTTGAGAAGAGAGAGAGACCGGGCACACTTCTGAAAGCCTCCGTTTTCAGCGCATGGATGAAAGATTGTCAAAAACAAGTGTCCAGCCTCAGGCTCCACCCAGGAGTTCAAATACTGAGGGATCTTCATCTCTTTCGAATCTGGGCTGAGGAAACGCCGAGACTCGCGTTTTCCGACGTCCGAACGAAAACAGTGCCGTCCACCGAATCGATAAAAACAGCACCAGCGATGGCGCACAAGGGTGGAAAAGCATGAGGAGATACACCGGAAATGCCAATGGTAACTGGTGGCATCTCATGACACTATATTAATAGCGCAATGATACGCTCAATTTTAAACTCACCGTAGTTGTGAGACAAACTTCCTTGGACCCATCATGCGAATCACTGGAATCTCAAACTTCAACTTCTCGGTTAAAGTGGGCTTGAGACAACCGTCTTCCCCAAATCGAGTGTTTTTCTCCACGGATTTCGACCATTTCAAAACACCAATGGACCATGACCAAGGCACCGCTAAAGGCACGGAGGCTCCCAGCCCAGCCTCTTCGCAGGAGTGCGGGTCCTTGGCGACCAGAAAAACACCAGAGACCAACACACAAGATGGTCAGAATGCTCTCTTCGTGGCCAGTTTCCACTGGAATGTGAAAAGTTGTGTGGTAAGTTGTAGTGGGTGCTTGTTGCAATGATCAAGGGGAGGCTTCACAGGGGGAACCTGTGAAATGCGAATGATCGTAAAAGGGGAGAACGTCTGACTCAGTAAAATCACAAGTTCCTCGAACCTCTGGTGCAAGTCCTTTTTTAGAAGAACTTCATGAATGCTCATGGTTCCTACATCCCATCCACCAACAAAGCCAGGCAGCTTGTGGGGGCCATCATTCGGCCCAGCATCGCAAGTGCCATGTCGACAAGCTCGCGCGCCGCGTGCCGAGCGAGCGAGGCCCAAGGGGCCCAAGGGGCCGACGATGGCTGCAGCTGGGAGAGTGGAGTCAGCATCCGCAGACTGGTGCGCTGTGCTGAAACACACTTCTGGAAGTTTATGGAATGTCCTAGCTCATACGTCTGTACCATCAGCACAGAAACGGATAGAAACTCCAATTGTTTGGATTCAACATGATTAATCTCATTGAATCCTGCACGTCTGACCCGCCAACCTCGCAGCTTGAGCGCCTACAGAATGCCCAAGCGCCCAGCCGCTTGCAGCCAAGTTGCCGATACCCCTGCCAGGAGTCCGAATCCCAAGGTGATGGACGCAGCCATCAAGAAGGGTAGCACATCCTCGCGCACGCCAAAAAACCCACGCATGCATTACACCAGCATAGGCCCAGATAGCTACTTGGTGGTTCGTTTTTACTTGTGGCACTTGCAACTTAGTTAAGACACTTATAGGACTTAAGCAACTTGTAAGTAGTACTTAGGGAACTTAGGTTTTATTAGTTTTTTAACTATAACCGTAAGTTGTATAAATTACTTGTAACTAACTTATAAGTTCTGTAAGTTCCTGGACGACCAAAAGTATAGTCTCAAACAAGTTTTTTTAAAGAACCAAAAAATTAGAAAAACTAAATTTTCGTCTTGAGATGGGCAGGCAGCTGTGAGAAAAACTAAGTGTTCGTTTGCAGATCCACGTGCCTTCGTGTCAGACCACATGAAGCGCAGCCATAGCAAACACTCCCTCAACACCTCAAGCTGGAAGTCTGCATCTTTCTCAAACCAAGGCATGAGAACCATGATGTTGGCCACGCTCATCCGAACATGTTCTGCGCACAGGCTGGTCATGTCTACCAAAACTGCTCTTGTTCTTTGAACTTCAATGGCAACTGATGTTCAATGATTGTTTCTTCAGCTTGATTCAGCTCAACCCTTTGAAAAATATACAGGGGTTACATATAGGTTGGCTGGTGGTCAATTGATCGGCTAGATCTAGGTTGGCTGGCGGCCCATTGGGCCGCCCAGATGTGTTGGTCAATTGATGGGCTAGATCTAGGTTGGCTGTCGGCCCATTGGGCCGCCCAGATGTGTTGGCTGGCGGCCCCAGTGGAAAAATACCATATACTCTAGACTCTAGACCTTATGCAAAGGGTCCTGTACCAAAAGTACTAGTCCTTGAAAAGCAATGCATCAAACATAAACCTTGATTCATTTGCCATTGATTCATTCAAAACAGAACTACCATAGCTTCACCTGATATATCTAAATATTCGGGTTGCTGACCAACAACTTTCACACACATAAAATTTGACTAGCCGATTGTTTTCACATATCACGGAATCACAAATGTATAAAAATGTATAAAAATGTATAAAAATGTATAAATCAATGCAGACCTAAATTTATACATGTATAATTCAAAAAATATCAATTTATACATGTATAAATCACCCCATTTTCAATTTATACATGTATAAATTGATAACGAAATCGATTTATACATGTATAAAAATGTATAAAAATGTATAAAAATGTATAAATTCAATTTCTGAATTTTAAGCATTTTGCTTGTCATGCGATGAGCTTTTATCAAATAGAATTCATTTCTCAGAGTTGCCAACCCCACCACCTCATAAGTTTAGACATTCCCTGACTCCCTGATTTTTTAAAAAATCCAGGAGTCAGGATTTAAGTTTTGCTGATTGAGAGCTTTGCTGATTGAGTGCAACAATGCTTTTTGTTTGCTGGCGTTTGCTGGCTCCAAGTGTGCGCTGCTCATGCGACGCGTCCTCAGCTGCCGGTACTGCTGAAGATGGAGCCTGTGCAGCCTAGGAGGATGACGTATGCGGAGCAGCTGGAGGCAATGCGGCCACCTTGCGGGTTTTGCATCCTGGCGGACGGGACCATCCTGCTGTCCAATCGGCCGGAGACCTACACGGCGGAGATGGTGGTTGATGCCTATGAGGCATGGCGAAAGATGAAGGCAGATGGCTTAGTGCGTGAGACCCGACCTGCGGCTCCAAGAGCGACATCCATCATCTGCTCAAGATGGCACGCGGTTCAATGTATATATTTTTTTGCAAGAGACACAACCTGCGGCTCAATGAGCCGCGTGTTTTTTTATACAGGAGCAACATCCATCATGAGTCAGCCATGACCATGACAAGACGGCATACGGCTCCGTGAGCTGCTTGATGAACACGCGATCGGAGCATGAACTCGATTTCAAATTTAAGAATCAAAGTGCGAAAAAAAACACGATTTGATCAGTTTTGGTGTAAATTAGAAAAACTTGAAATTGTATATCTCAAAAAGTTAAGTTCCCTAAGTTAGTTATAACTTATTTTTGACTAGTTTTTGATAATCTAGATATAGAACTTAGAAATTTCTAACTTTTGCTAACTAACTTGCAAGTGCCACATCTTAACATAAAAACTTGTGCTAGTTACAGAACTTGTAACCCCTTCGTAACTAAGTTACCAACCACTTACAAGATACTTACAAGTTCCCTAGCCAAAAATGAACCACCAAGTAGGCAGAATCCCACGACCTGTTGACATGCGACTGGCTGGAACAAGAATGTACGTAGCCTGCACAGCCAGCTTACGGCAGCTTCACAGCGCGCACAATCAGCTGACGCCAGCACCGGTGCGCTCTGCCAGCTGACAACACCGGCAGCGGCGCCAGCGGCCCGTCTTAAACGCGCGCTCAGCCAGCTCACAGCACCAGCACCCAGGACCACAACACCAGCACCAGCACCGGCACCCTTTCGAAAGCGCACGCAGCCAGCTCATTATAGCCCATTCTTATTTGCAGCAAGAACCCCATAGCTATCCCTATTTTGGGAAATAACAACGTATGATCTTGCGCGTATAAGTTTACGCTCAAGCAACAACACCATATGATGTTGCGTGCATAAGCTCATGCGGCCCATGACTGCTGGCACTTCATTGTCAGAAGCGGGTCTTGGTCGCCCTTCACTGCTGCAAGCGGCGGTTTGCCACCCTTCACTGTCAGAAGCGGCGGTTGTTATCACTTCACTGTCAGAAGCGAGCACCAGCACCGAGCTCACGGCGCCCAGCACCAGCACCCAGCACCAGCACCACAGCCCGCAGCCAGCAGCCCAGCACCAGCACCGGCACCCTGTCTCCACCACGTGCAGCCATCTGGGGAAAAATTACACCAGCATAGACGCAGATAGCCAGGCAGTATCCCACGACCTGTTGACATGCGACTGGCTGGAACAAAAATGCACGCAGCCTGCGCAGCCAGCTTACGGCACCTCCACAGCGCGCACAATCAGCTGACACCAGCATCGGTGCGCTTTGCCAGCTGACAACACCTGCAGCGAGCGGCGCCAGCACCCGACCAGTGCCGCCGCCCGTCTTAAACGCGCGCTCAGCCAGCTCTCAGCACCAGCACCCAGGACCACAACACCAGCACCTCGAAAGCGCGCGCAGCCAGCTCATTCTTATTTGCAGCAAGAGCCCCATAGCTATCCCTGCACTAAAAGTATGCGCGCAAACAGCAAAGCCCGTAAGAGTCATTGGCCCAAGGCCAAGCAGTACCAGCGCCACTATTGACTTTGTAGCATGCTTTGAAGCAACGATAAGGCCGTATGATCTTGCGCGTATAAGTTTCCGCGCACAAAAGTATGCGCTCAAACGACAAAGCCCTCAAGCAGTATTGTGTATATTGTGTATGTAGCACGCCGAAAGATGCTGAAACAATGGTCGGTTGAGAGCCCGACGTTGCGCATAGAACATTGTACGTACAAAACAGGTATGGGCGCAAACATTACAGCCCTTGACACAGCTGTCGGCCAAAACAGAACCTGAAGAGTGTAAATACCCCACAGCGCTAATAGACAAAGAACGCTCAGGCGACAACACCGTATGATGATGTTGCGTGCATAAGTTCATGCGGCCCATGACTGCTGGCACTTCATTGTCAGAAGCGGCGCTTGGTCGCCCTTCACTGCTGCAAGCGGCGGTTTGTTACCCTTCACTGTCAGAAGCGGTGATTGTTATCACTTCACTGTGAGAAGCGGGCACCAGCACCGAGCACCGGCACGCCAGCTCACGGCACCCAGCACCAGCACCCAGCACCAGTATATACCCAGCACACCTGGCACCCACCCAGCGCCCAGCATCCGGCACCCTGTCTCCGCCACACACGCAGCCAGCGCCCAGCCCGGCGCCCAGTCTCCACCACGCGCACTGCCAGCTCACAGCACCGGCACTGTCTCCAACGCGCACAGCCAGCAGCACCAGCAACCTGTCTCCACCACGCGCGCAGCCAGCTCACAGCACCAGCACCAGCACGGCACCCAGCACCAGCACCGGCACACCGGCACCTGCAGCAACCTGTCTCCACCACGTGCACAGCCAGCTCACAGCACCAGCACCGGCACCCGGCACCAGCACCCGCAGCCAGCTCACAGCACCAGCACCGGCACCCGGCACCAGCAACCTGTCTCCACCACGTGCACAGCCAGCTCACAGCACCATGCAACACCAGCACCGCCACCCGGCACCAGCACCAGCACTGCACCAGCACCAGCACCAGCAACCTGTCTCCACCCCGTGCACAGCCAGCTCACAGCACCAGCACCAACACCGCCACCCGGCACCCAGCACCAGCACCGGCACCAGCAACCTGTCTCCACCACATGCACAGCCAGCTCAACCTGTCTCGAAAGCGCGCGCGCGGGCAACTCAGTGTTATTTGAAGTAAGAACCCCATAGCTTCGCTATCTGGGGCAAAACCATGCATGCATAACTCGCGCCCAGGCCCGGCATCTGGGTTTCTTTGCAAGATCTTGCAAGACATCTAACTGCAGGGCCCACAGCTTCTCACAATCATTCCGCTCCGTTTTTGATCGTCTTTGAAGTACACGCGCATTCAACACCAAACGCTCTAGCAGCCCTCGGCCACCTGTCCTGCAGCGTGACAGGTAGCGCCCTGAAAGATCAGACTCTCGGCCCCTCATGGCTTCATGCTAGGAGCAAGAAGCTACTAGGAGCAAAGGGCATCGCTACTAGGAGCAAGGACGCTACTAGGGGTTCCTGGCCTTACTACTATAGGAACAAGGACGCGACTAGGGGTTTCATGCATCTTGAAAATGTGCATTGCCCTTTCCCTGCGGTCTCGACCATTGAATACTCCCGGCCGCAGAGCATGGCGCGGAAGAAGCCCCGCCGCCTCCAAAATGACTCGCCATGAGCCTCCCAACGGCAGACACATGCAAACACGCCACTTACGACCACAAGAAATGATGTGTGCAGTACGTGCAGCTCATCCACCTGCGCACGGTTCAACAGCTAAATCCCAAGCAGCATGCACCTCCACGTGCTGGAAGGTGTAGGCTGAGTCTCCTTTGGCATTCCACAGCCACCTATCGGGTGGCGAGGGTGAAGGTCAAGCGCAGTCAGCTTCGACACCAGCACCCAGGGCCCACCTGACATGAGCATTCAAAGCGCGAGCCCGAGCGCCTCGCTGAGGTCAAGTTCATCTTCAGAATGTCCACCTGCCCAAAGTGCGTCAAACTTAAGTTCTAAACAGGGTCCTGCGAGGTGAAGGTCTGAACAACAACAACAACAACAACAACCACAACCACGATTTAAAAAAATAGTTATAACAACTGCTGGTTTCTGTAATAATATAATATTACCAAAAAGAAACTGCTAATAACTAACTACCTACTACCTACTAGTAGTGGTAGTAGCAGCAGCAGCAGTAGTAGTCGTCGTCGTAGTACTACCTACTACCGACGACGACGACGACGACGACGATTACGACGACTACTATTACCACCACCATTACCTACTAACTACTAACTACTTACTACTTACTGCTTATTACTACTTACTACTTATTACTACTTACTACTTATTTCTACTTACTACTGACTACTTGCTACTACTTAACTTACTACTAAGCTACGACCTACGACCTACTACTACTACTACCACTACTACTACTCCTCCTGCTGCTGCTGCTCCTGCTACTGCTACTGCTACCGCTACTACGATCTCCTCCTCCTGCTCCTACTCCCTCTGCCGTCATTCTCTAGACTCGAAAGCAAAGGAGCGACTGCAAGAAAGAACACCATTTTGGGGAGTGTGTTTAAGCTGGGAATTGCATGGGGAGTTAAGTCCAAGGCCAGAATTGAATGCCTTCAGCCAAGCCGAAGAAATGCATTTGAACGGCCTCTGAAGACACGGCGGCCAGAAGACTCTGTGCGAAGCGGACCGATCGTTCCTGTCGAGAGTGCCGGTGGGCGATGTGAAGGCTTTGTTGTTTGGCTGATGGATGGGACCAGAGGCCTTCGCTCTGATCCCAGGGTCTGGGGGCGAGTCAGCATGAGCCATTCGGGTGCTGAAAATGGAGCTGAAGCTCAGGAGTTCCCCCTCTCTTCCACAACAATTGGGTAAAATCACCCATCTCCTGCCGGCTCTGCGCAGACTCCTCACGGCAAGGATCCTGGCACATGTTGACAGCAGGTTCACAAGGCAGGAAAAGGATTTTGATGGATTTTGAGATCGGAGGGTCGTACTAGTGCAATAAAATACTTATATAGGTGTAAATAAGTGTACATTGCGTGGATGATATATGTATATACATATTATTTGTCATAATATAATATTATTGTCAAATATATATATATAATTATATATATATATATTTGTATGCATATTTGATCTTATCTCGAGAGAGAGAGAGAGGGAGAAGATGAGAGAAGGGTCAATCCATGTCAATCCCTTGGCCCTTTCGCAACGTCTTAGGCTTTTTCCATGCATCGCCAAGCCTATCACGTCATCTCGCCTTGGGGAAAAGCCAATCAACACCTCCGATTGGAGCGACGATGCGCTCAATGTGCGGCTGCCTTGGCAAAGAGCCCTCAGGCCTGTCCATGCGCCACATTCCTATTTTGCAATGTCTTCCACTGTGGAGCAAACACCATTGCTGAACATCCAGAGCTCTATCCCGCTGTCGTTGAATGCTGCGGTGCGCTGATAGCTGACCACCCAAAACCCCGACGCTTGGTGCCAGTGCACGCGAGACATTCCCTGATCCTCCACAACGCATCTTGGGCTACCCCGCAGCATGCCCCCGGAGATCAGTGATGCACTCGAAAGTGAAATCGCTTGGTAAATCGGCGACCTGAGAGGTGAGGTTGATGAGGCGGGTGGTATGAAGGAGCAATCGGAGCACCGACAGGGCACAAGCAATGTGGCAACTGGCTTTGTCTTCTGAGGCCCCAGGCGACAAAAGCTCCAGCATACCCAGTGGGGCATCAGGGGCCAGCAAGTGGATATAAATGATCCAGCGGTGCTTCTGGCGAAGGACGCCACAAATCAAACATCGACCCTGGACCCGAACGACCAGCACGACTGGCACGAACTAGACAGTGCCCATGGCCGCCCAGGTGGCCCATGCCTCATGCATTTTGGCATCTAACAGCCATTGCCGCAAGCGACCTCAGAAGTTCACAACACTCTCTTGGTGGCCACTGGCGAAACCATTTTTCACTTTGCTCGCACATCAGGAAAAAAGAGAAGTAGACCGATCCGATGACTCAAAAGCTGGCAGCAAGCATTGAAAAGAAGTGCCATGACAAAGCTCAGGAAGTTTGACTCCTCTTCCACATTGTTCACGTCCAAATGCACCACTATATAAATGCCTGACCCTCAACCTGCCACCCTCTGCCCACCCAGACTGAGGATCAGGGCTGAGAAGCCTTGAAAGGCTTTTTGCAATGTGTGCTCGGGGGGGCCCACACCAAGCTGCACCCGGTGTCCACAAACTCCGGTTACCAAAAAGAGTCTAGGTTGGTGCCTTGCCCAGGTGAGGCCTTTGCTACGAGCATAACGCATGGGAGGGCATGCAAAACGCTTATAAAAAGGATCTTGGGTCCATTTCCCGTAGGTATGATTTATACAAGTACGTAGACATTATGCAGTTGCACCATGCCTCTTCCTCTTCTTGGATGCTCTTACACTTACTGTATCATGTTGGACTATCTTTTCTGTCTTCTGAGGGCCCCAATGTGCCCCAACGCTTACTCACAGGCAAGGTGCAGCTGCAAGGGTGTATACCGGCCATTTCTCCAGCTACTCCGCGGGTCTGCGTGTAAACGCTCATTCTGGTTCCACCCCTGTCCTGGACCAATTCCATCTAACACCAGTTGCTATATCAGGTCAAGTGTATGCCAAGGAGCTTCTGGGCCTGAGGAAGCAAAACCACCTCTGCTCCACCGCCGTCTCCCCTGGGCACACGGTCTATAGTAAGTTGAGTGCTGGGATTCTTGCCAGAACACGAGAAAATCAATTTCAGTGACTCAATCATTCAATAAGGCTTCATTCAGCTCAAGCATGCTGCTTGGAAGGCATTGGTCCCACAGCCCGGCGGTGTAAGGTTGTGCGATCAAACTCTGGAGAGCTGCTTGGGTTGTCTGTGACTGATCGTGTGTCTACGATTCAGAATAGTGATCGACCACTCTTTAAACACTTCAGAATTGTCCGAAGGAATTCTCTTGAAACGATGCCTCAATCTACAGTACTGTACAATATGCGATAATATGCCCACACCCGTGCCAAGTGCTTGATGGCAGCCCCGGCAGTGCCCCAGACCAACTGCACCTCATCACCTGCAAAGGCTGGCAGTTCGACCTCAGCTGTGTCAGTGTTAGTTTGCTTGAAATTCTTTGTGGTTGACAAACACGAGAAAAGAAACAAGCCCTCAAGCCATGGGTCTTCAACGTAGAACCTGCGTCAGCTCAGAATCGGTATTTTCCATGATGCCTTCCTAACGCCAGCTTGGCATGTTGCCGTTCTGTCTCCACCAGAGAGATTTCTGTCGAAAGCCTCAGTGTGCACGTTGGATGCCGGTGATCGGTCTACTTGAACCAAAGCAGCCAGTTTTGTCGCTCCGTCTCTCTGGAGATACTTTTGAGGGTCTCTGTTCATGTTGCTAGTAGCACTTGCTACTAGTAGCAGTGCGCTTGTTACTAGTATTACTAGTAGCGTGTACCTTGTTGCCATCTCAAATGCAGGAGCCCCCGAAGCAACCGATTCTGCGCTCGTGAGCTCTGTCACCCGGTCGACTGAGTTTCGATCCGGGGGAGTGGCCTCGAAGCCTCCAGAGTAGTTGAGGGTCGCAGTGCTAAGGGCAGAGAGAATTAGATGTCAGTATAATACTAATAATTTATGCATTAATTATATATACAGCTTTGCATGCGTGTTCATTCTTTCTCATCTTTGGTCTGAGCATTCTATTGTGATTTAGTCTGATTCAAGAACAACTTGACTGCAAAAAACGTAGTACAAGTGCGAGGCAAACGACAAACATCTGCTCAGGAGACCCGAAAGTTCCGTTAAATGACAAACCCAAATGGTTCACCCAACTGCTTCACCCCGTGGTTGGTTCACCTCGGACAGTATCGCATACAGGTGGAGAAAATTCAGAAGCTGAAGCGTCACCCTGTACCGTGAAAAACCTAACGATCAAAAACCTAACTATGGACAACCTAAGCGCGGCAGAACCCCACCTCCGACTTTTGGAAGAATCACCAGCCCAATTGGCTACATCATGCCAGCTTTCTTTCCCAAGCTCGATGCGAAATCTTCCGCGGTTCTTTCTCAAGGGGCGTTTCGCAGTCTGTGCGCTTTGGCCTGGACATAGATCCTGCTGCCTGGCATGGCCGCGCCAAGGACATCATGTCGGAATCCCAAACTTTGTCAAGCTTCTATTGACCTAGCGGTTGGGGGTATAAGATCATTGTTGTGGTCATTTTCTGCCACATGGTGTGCCGGCGTGGAGACCTGGGATCTCTGAAAGCAAAGAGGCGAGGAAGACTTGTGGCATCTTGTGGTATATTGCTACTCTTGGCATCTTCGACACTAAGGGGGTACGCATGAAACTCACGAACCACACCTTGCTCGGTCACCCTGAAGCATGGTCTATCCACCCCCAAAATCTTCGTGCCACAGTGATTCGGGCATCGCTCAAGGGTGTAGGAGAATCTTGTCACTTCAAAGGAAGAAGCATAACCTCTCTGACCCTCCTGGAAGCCGCAATCTCAGCTAGTCAAGTCAAGTCAGTCCAGCAACCCCTAGTCAGGAGCCAGGGAAATCCCTTGTTGGATGATGTTGAATGACCTCGCACCTGTGCCATGGAGACCCAGCTGCATTGCCCGGGTCTGGTGTTCGCGTTGAGACAGGGACCTCAGGCGTCACAAATTCTGTGGGCCAACGTCGAAAAGAAGGGCGCGGAATCCTGTAGCATTCAAAGTCCCATGCAGAAGGATCCTTACAAGAGGTTTTCCTTGTGGTCATAAGGGTCCTGCAAAACACTGAGTCATATTTGACGATTGAAACTACACATTGCCAAACATGTCGCTCATTAGCAGATCAAGTGACCAGGCAGAAGGTAAATCATTCTTATGTCTCTAGCAACTCTAGTATTCTCTACTGGTGCTCGTAAAGTGGGTTCTTGCAGAAGTTCATGACTGACATCATCCTGTGCAAAATCTGCGTCCTGGGGAAAGGACCGAGCGTATTAGTTTTTGCCGCTGCGCTGCACTGGGCTCCAAACAAGTTATAGTGTTTGCGCGAGGAATTGGCCACCTATTGCTGGTTTATATCGTTGGCCAAGCGCCAAAAAAGTGTGTCTTCAAACCCTGCTGTCCTAAGGTTGGCCAATCTAGTATGTGCCCATTGGGCAGAAAATCCTTTTCCCCTACGGTGATGCCACAAACTCTCGGGACTCTCCGTCCGAAAGGTCAAGAACACACAGCGCAAAGAGGATTAAAGTCAGTCACCACTGATGTTTTGAACGATTCTACTTGGAAAGACCGCACCGTTCAGTGGCATGGTATACCTACTACTGAGTTTGGGCTAGCAATTCTGAGATATTCTGGGATCATTGCTACATGTTGGAGTAGCAGCTGGGGTGCCTGAAGTGTCCTAGGTGGGGAAATGTATAACATGTACAGTGGATGATGATGGTTAGTAAAGGCCTTGTTCAAAAATAGTGATAATTGTTTACTGAATGTTACAGGTAATAGGACTATGTCCACAAATGCCCAAAGACCAGCCTGCAGCATGGGGGCGGCTAGAGACACCTAAGCACAAGCGTGCTAATATGAATTAGCACTCACACACGCTCGCCACTCGCGTGCTCAACATCGTGGGACCGACACCGTGCCTGCGCGGATGAACCCAAGTATTCAAAAAATTGGAAATACATACACTGTACATCATTCACTGGGTATGACATCAAATGACTCAGTATTGAAGAGACCTTCCATAGTGAAGATCAGGAACGTGTCCGATCATCCAGGAGCCGTGCTTGTGAAAGAGTTTTCTCGTCTTCCACACGCACCTCCATGCCACGTGTCTGACACATCAAACATGGCCACGTGAAAACGAACACGAACGAGAAGCTTTGATGCAAAGCCTTTCAATCATAATCATCAAACACCAGACCAAAAAGTTTTAAACAAGCATCTTGCAACTTGCAATATCTCGCACTTCTGTGTTTGTAAATGAACGCTGTGAATTCACTCCTCCGGGGTCTGCACGTCCACCGGTCTGTCAGTGGTCACCTGTGCCAAGGCGTCCTTGAAGCACCAGCACGTTCCCTCTGTGCAAGCTGTAAGCTTTCTTGTCGGCGTGTGATTCTCCAAACCCAGGCCACAGGATGCCACAGGGTCCTTGGCGATAATCTGCACCTGAAGTCAGGTCTGTCTCTTGCCCCCCCCTCTCTCTCTCTCTCTCTCCGTGTGCCAAGTCTAGCTGTCTCACTGTCTCACAGCTCCCATAGGGCCATAGGGACACTCTGATAAAATAGCTGTACTTGCAGCTGTTGGTGGCTCATCTATGCTTACAATCGCTTCCTGTGTAGACTCTATGGCGGTGCCACAACCTGCAAACGGAACACATGTTACCCACGCCTTGTCAATAGCTCCACCTTGCAAATGAAACGAGCCACCATTCAACTTCGCCTGGCATACTTGTGAAATACAAAGGGCGTCTCCACTCCACCATCATTGAAAAAAAGCCTGAGCTTTCCAAGCCTAAACTAGCGTCTGTGAGTCACCAGAAACATTCCCTGCACCCGGTTTCAACCATAAGCGAGGAAGGAACTCTCTCTCTCTCTCTCTCGGCTTCACGCCCCAACTGTTTGACCTGAGCCTAGGGGCGACAAATCTTTGGGCTGGGTGTTCTTTAATGCAGACTTGTCACAGCTGAGGCCTCTAATGATGGCGCAGCTAAGTTCATGAGCTGAGACCGGGCCTGAGTCTCCAGGCCACCAAATTTGCTCCCCCAATCATTGGTCCATACACTACTGGTCCATACATTCCTGCCGGACCTGATGAGCTCACCTGCATGAGTGTTCAAGCCTTTCACTGACTCACTGAGGTGCTTACGACAGTTGAGATATTCAACTCCAGGCTCCCTCCTCAGATTGGAGGTCCTTCCTCCATGTCAACACATGTCAACACCCAGCAGTTTCGAGGCTGGTGGCGTACCACCGGTGTCACCGCAAAGTTCTGAAACTACGCAATGAATGTAATTGCTAAACCAGGCAAGCCAAATCACTAGTAGATTCAACCTCCTCAACTCATCAAGTGTGATGCCAATCGCTTCAAATGTAATTAATTACAGTAAAATTCAGCTCCAGGCGTAGACGAAGGGAAGATATAAAAATGCTGGACATCTGCACGGTGTTCGAGCAGCCAGCCTCCTGACAGTGCTATGCGCCGCAGCTCCGACTCAACAATAGTGGCACTCGCCCTTGTGTGGGCAATGGGCAAAATGTGTATATATATATATATGTATGTGTGTGCATAGAGGTAGAGAGAGAGATGAAAACACCGAAACAACTGTCCATCAAGAGTTGAGCGATTCTAGCCACACTGCCTGCTGGGTTCCAGAATGGTCTGGCCTCAAAGATTCGAGAGCCATGCGCATTCCAAATGAGATGAAGCACTTCTCAGATCTTCCAGGCAAGTCACTGAATAGCAATCTTAGCAGAATTGTAATGATAAAGGGAAGATCCTGGCGTGTCACAGCTTTGTTGCAGGGTCACGGCTTCCTGCAAGTGTAAGCGCACACGACAGCAGTGCATGACGATGGTCCTACGTCAGGAAGATAGAGTGCAAGCCTAAGCCACTCAAGAATTGGAAACTCAGGGGCTGTCATGGTGTGTTGCAGATCTTCCTCACACCTCCTTTCGGACAGGCATAGCTGCGGCATTATGGCATATATTGGCATATCATGCATCTCTATACGTCCTTTCTACCCAAGGCGCGGACGTGCATCGCATCATCAAGATTTTACCTGCTACAGTCGTCCATGTGAATGAGGAAAGACCCCTTTGACGCCATAGAACTGCCAAGAAGAACCTGCCAATGTCAATCCCTATCAGATAATATCAAAAACACACCCCTCAGTGAGACTTCAGACTCCTGGCTCAATTCCCAAATGGTGATCTATAAGGCTTGGCCAAAAATGGTGGCATTGAGCCAGGAGTTTGGGGTTGTAAGCATCGAATCCTTTCAATACTTGGACCCCGCAAGCTCGCTTCATAGATCGGGAACGAACAAGTCGCTCCATGGAAACAAACATCAGCCGCGCGTGGACGAATTCAATGGAGGTTCCAACCTGTCTTCAGAAAAGTCACGTGTCCCAAAAAGCGATCCCAACGTGACCCTTCCCCTTCCGAGGTTTGTTGAACCTGGACGCCACGGACGCCACGGACGCCACGGTACATGTTGCGGTCACTCGAGACGACCGTGAGCCGCTCGACGGTGCTTTGTCCCACCCCTTCAAACCGGACCATGGGCCCCCACGGCGGTTCACCGCTCGCACCCGGAGGGTGTTATTCACGACCTGCCCCGGTCCAAACGCTGGGATTGGATGTGCCTTTGACACAGCGGAGGTGCGTGAACAGTATCAAATGTTCAAAAAGCCACGTCATCCTTCTTGCACCTTCGTGCTTAGGTTCAAAAGGTCCAAAGAACTGCCTGACTGTCAGTTGGACAGTATGTCAAGGTTCATCATTCCTCGTCGATCACAATTGGGCACGTGCATTGAGTTCAATGGTTCGAGGATTCATGAGGCTCTTGCAGAAGGCCCTGCCTGCTGTTAACTTTCTTTATTCAGCGGTCCAGGTGTATTTAAGGTCAGGGTCAGGTTCGCTGAGGTTGGCGGAGGCGACAAACCACACAACCATCACACACACAAAAAAAAAGACATAGGCTAACAAAGGGTTGCATCACTTCCAGCAGTTGCCTTGGACATAGGTAGAATTTTTGTAAATATACAGACATGAAAAGGGCCTGAGCCGCAAGCATCAATTGAGGGGGTGAACTTAAGGAATAACACACCAAACGAAAATCAAAGCAAACGCTATTAGCCAGCTGCAAGCCGCTAAAACTTAAATTCAATAATTACAACAAAGTTGACTTTAGGAACTTATGTTAATTCCTGGGAAGTGGATTGGGGAGGGTGAATTTAAGAATGGAAATGCCGGAAAAGCGAAGCGGTTGGGACGTGCTTCATGGGGAAATAGGTGCGCAGTTGGACATAGAATTGTTGCAAAAACAGAAAACACAATAACATGAAAAAGGCCAAACCCCAAAATGCATGAATTATATGTTTTGGATGCCAATCAAACCCCAGAAGTACCATTTTGGAGTATGAATTCATACAAAATCATATGATCAATGATCTTTGTGTTTTTCGAAACGGAAATCCTACCCCAAAAATCGCCAAGATTCCTTAAATTCACCCTCCCTGAATTTAAGGATTCTTTGTTCGCGTCTGAGAGGTGAGCAAAAAGGAAATCTGATTGAGGTCTGTGAGATCGAGATTTGTGATCGTCATCAGGGTCATCCCTCTTTCCACCAAAAGCTCTGCGGCATAGACTACCGCAATGAACTGATGACAAACGCAGCCGATTCTGGGGATCACAAAGGCTGTAAGCCCACTGCCCTGGGTAGGTGAGCTGCAGCCTTGGGGCCATCTAGAAGTGCAAATGATTGTCAATCCCGTGACCAAAACCCAGAACTTCGTCCTCCAAAAACGACATGAGATATTCCAGGCATCCTCACCGGACTCCGGTTTCCGGCTCACCTCCAAAGTGCCTGAGCCCAGCCATCGCCAATAGCTGAGCCTTGCCTGAAAGGGACTCAGCGGAACCAAACACGGATGATGGCATCGGTTCATCGGCAGAAATCCCCTCTATTCCTAGTAGCTTCTTTCTCCTAGTAGCAATGCCCTTTGTTACTCATAGATTGTTGTTCCTAGTAAGATGAAGAACCAACGCTCAAGGTCTTCCACATTCTTCTACCATCAGGGTCGAAGTTTGCGAGGTACCGGTCGACTGGTGAACACTTGGGCTCCGTGCTTGTTGACTGCCCTCTGGAAGGGCGAGCAAGTCACATCCCGTGAGCGAGATGTCTAAATCCTCAGAAACGACGCGACGCAGATTCAGTAAGATCTCGAAACGAAGAACTCGGCAGGGTCATAGAGAGGCTTCCAGGACAAAGTCGCCATTGTGGCAGTTGCCATGTCTTTTGGGCACATGCTGCCCACCATGTTACACTGCTTATGCATGAAAGTATGGTTTGGTATGCTTTGGTCATTAACGGCATTTGGATGCATCATGCACATTGAATTATTGGTAGTTCCTTTGATTCCTTCTCACCCCACGTCTTCCCAGCGGTCTGGTGAGTTCTTATGGGAAGACTGAATCGTCATGAAGACTGAAGACGAGAGTTTTGACTCGATTTGACTCTCTCAAAGGTTCTCAGCCTAAGGCTAAAGGTAAGCCACGGCCCACTGCAGTGACTGTCAAGACCTTAGAGCAAATATCAAATATCTGATACTATAACACTATCTGTCAAACAGAGTCAGGCCTTCAGCAAATCAAGTGACACCAGTCAACTCAAGCGCAACACCTTGAACACGTTCAGAATGGTCTGTCAATTCTACCAGTATCTGCTTAGGTGTCGAGTGTTGACCCCTGTTTGTTTGGCTGCGCATCGGCGCCTCCCCATTTTATCATCTTCGCAACCGCTGTTAGCCGGAGAAGGCCCCTTCTCCGCCAGACAAGAAGAACAACAGGAGACCGACACAATAAGCTATAGGTGGTCGAGTCAAAGTGATTGTTCCTTCTTCAGGTTGGAAACGCTAATGATATATTCCTACGTGTCTTTACGCCACAACCTTTTCAATTCAACGGACCTAAGGCTTCTGGCAGAATGGCTATAAAACCACGGGGCCACCAGCAACGGTGTGCACCTGGGCAGCCAGTCTAGACTGTGCAGATTCTAGACTATGAAGATGAATCCATTCATGCTCCTGCATTGGGGGATCCCTGATGAACATGTCTTGGAGAAAAAACGCAAAAGCTACCAAAACCAAGTGTGAGAAAATTCAACTCATTGTCGTGACGTGGACGGGAACAAGCTTTTTGCCACTGCAAGAGCATAGCAAATCTCGGCAAAAAAAGATCTTGAAAGTTTGTACGGCCCTGGGCTTAAAGCGATGAATCCAATCAGTCTGGGGCTGTTAAGCGGTGAGTTCTTCCACCAAAGGTTCGCTTCTTGAGGTCCATCGCGTGGACCGCGCATCGCGGCGAACGGCATTCTGTCACTCGTCACTCGCCACTAATGGCCTTGCTGGGCGTCTCTTGAAGACTCCAGCGACAGCGGTTTCAAGGAACCAACGACACAAATGGTTCCGAAACATTCGAGATGCCATCTCCAATCTATGATCAGCTCCGTTCGTTAACTGATCATTCCTGCCTTACACCTCCCGTGTTTCACTTTGAAGTCAATTGTCGAAAACAAGGCTGTAATGTTTACTGCCAACGAGGCTCCAGAGAGGTAGAATATTAGCGCGTGCCTTGAATTATGGGGCTACTCATCCAATGTAGATGAAGCCTCAAAAATGGCCCACTGGTAGATGGCTCTTCGGTTCGGAGATAAGTGCATCCCGTCCCACATGGTAGAGTAGCCCTCATGATTGATGGTCAAGCATGTGGTGCAAACAAATGCAACACAAATGACGACAAATGAAAAATTCCACTGATGAGCTTGAAATCGCAACCTCAAATACACTTTCACGCATATACTTCCACCAAACCAGCTTAGAGCCTTGAAAATAACCCTGGTCTGCGGATTCCACATCGGCCAGCCACGGACTCACATGACACTGCACCCGTCAGCAATGTTTGGTGGCGGGGGCAACCCCCACTCCTGCAAAAACTGGCGGCGGCGGCACAAAAAACCCAAGGTGGCGACTGAGCAGCACCATCACTGGCTCATTGGGGTGAGGCAAACGTTGATATCAAACCACTTCCCACCACCCTCAGGTCCTTGTCGTAGGAAGTGTTTCGACCAACTGGTTTCCCGTACTCCTGCGGGAAAGCAAGGACATGCAAAGACAACATATCTTACGGCATCTTACGGCTATGATATCTCTTCTACACTATGTGTGCCAAACCGGTCAGCCATGCTTCCCAGAAGCAGGACCATGCCAGCGGCCTGAGAATCAGAAGACATCTACGATCTACCCGTCGTCTGCGAGTCCTTCTCATAGAAGGCCCACCAACTCATGAGTCCCTGCAAGCGCCTCATCAAGTGACACCATCACTGACCCCGAAAGTCCCGTTGGCCCTATGCAGTTGGTGTCTCTCAAGAACTGACTGGGATCAACGCAAAACTCCATGGCTAGGAATCTACCAGCCATGCTCGAAGGAAAAGATCTGATCATTGCAGAGACTAGTGTTTATTTTAGCGAGTTCTCAGCAGCTCCATCCATCGCCTCAAAAACGCAGAAATCCCCGCGCGACGTTCCCAAGGCACCGGTCCGCAGCATCCTGCGGCTGGATCTTGAAGATGTCCTGATTTGAAACCACCGAATGTAAAGTCTCAGAGTCAGATGCAAGGCTGCCCACAAAGTAGAAGAAGGTTTCCTGAATTACATGTGTAGAAGTGCTTGTTCTACAAGAGGGAGGCAGCAAAGCTATCAGAACTGACTGGGGCACTTGGAAACTTTGGAGCGAACTGATGTCAGACATATGTCGATCTTTTTTCAATTGGCCGCTCAGTCTCTTGCATCGATCCAGTGCTTAATGCATGAACGGAAATATATCATGTCTCGGCATGTGCGGACGATCCACGTGTCGACGATCCAATTAGAAATACGTCGAACGCGCGGGACTCGGTGTTCAAGCTTCTTCATGAATTGACACAAGAATGATCTGAATCTGCACTGTAGGAAAATCACTTTATCATAATCATTCATAATCTATCTAATTAGGTTGGAGGCCTTCGCTGCTAGTAGCAAGAAGCTATTAGGTTTATTGAAGGGGACACATCGTTTGTGTTTACTTTCTCGGTGCAATGCTGCCGGCCGTTTTGAGTACGACCCATAGGCAAAAGAATGGAAGAGAAACCACCACCACCACCACCACCACCACCACCACCATCACAGCAGAGGCAGAGGCAGCAGCAGCAGCAGCAGCAACAATAACAGCACCAGCAATAGCAACTACATCAATATTATGACTGCGAAAGCTCTTGTCATTTGTCACTTGTCAGGTCATATTGGAACTTGAGCTGTCTGGTCATCTTGAAGAACACAGTGCGCAAACGGGGCGCTGATACAATATCCAACTGTTGCTGGTATGCACTAGCATCTGTTGACTTTCCTCTTCGTCTTGACGCCGAGCATCATAGAACTTGTCCATGTTCTCTTCGGAATCCTACTGCTAGCGTACAAACACCAGGCACGAGCAGGCTACGCAAATGCATGCTTGATTGTTCAAAAGCATTCCGGACCTTCGAAGGGCACTGCACTAGCCTGATTTAACCCGATCAACAGCCAGCCTCGCCACTGACCAGGGCCCATGTGATGTCCTTACCAGTCATATACCTGCCCAGGTGGCTTTTTGGAATGCAAAAGCGCGCCTTCGGAAGGATGTAGAATTTGTAGGGTCCCCGGCGACATTCTTACGAACATGCCCGGACATACATCTTCCTACTCGGGGCAGGGTGTACTGGAGTGGAGGTGTGCGGATATGCCGTGTGTAAAATGTGCATGCATGCATGCATGCATGCATAACATACCATACCATAACATTACATTACATTACATTACACTACATATATACATAGATATATATATATATAGATATATCAGAGCAATTTCTGCGACCAAGTGTCCAGTACGGCCCATCTGGCCCATATTTGTCTGGCCGATCCTCAGCTGATGCAAGCTGGCTGTTGGCCAGAGGTCGCATTTGAAGCGGCATGACGATGCCCACAACATGACGTCTCTTACTATAGGTTTCGTTCTGACTCTGGTTGAGGGGACCCCCTTGTGACTTGAAATTCCGCAACGCTGGCCGCTGGCCGAGAGGCCGAGACATCAAACAAGTCTCCGTACACCGAGACCAGCATGCGCTCACCTGGCGGACCAGTGAAAAGAATCTCTGGGAAGGGCAAGGCTAAGGAACAAACAAAGAAGCACGAGAGTTTCTCATCAAATGCACGGAGGACTTGCCAGCCCATGTGAAAGTAGCCGGGAATCAGAGACTTCCCACGTGTGCGAGCCCCACGTGCCGTCGTGGGTCCCCATGGCGTCACCTTTGCAGCCATACTTTTCCAACAAGTCCTTCTGTGAGATGCGGCCGACGTCCTTTTGGAAGTCTTTTGGCATCTTCACACCTCAGTATGTCAATTGATTTGCCCTGATTTATGTATCTTCTGATTGGTTTTGGATCCACGCCTCCAGGACAATTGCTGAAGGTGGCCACTGGCCCTTCTATGGATCTGAAACGTTCAGGATGGTCAGTCTGGATAAGGCTGGGTCGAAGTGGGAGGGCATGTGCTATGATCTGGACATTTATCAACTCAGCGTTGCTGTTTGTTCCTTCGGGGTGAGGGTGCTTGCCCTGTCGGATAGTCAAGAAAACGGATGAAAGAAATGCTGAAGCAATAAAACATCAAAGGCCCCTCTCATATGTCAATGTGTATATCTCAACTTGCACGAGTGGGTTATTGAACCCTCCGCCCCGATCTCGCCTCGCCTTTTGGGCCTGCATGAGCTAGGGTATTGGACATCTTTACAAGTTCCACATCCCCCGACTCTGAACGTCAGGGACGTGAAGAGCAGTAGCGGAGTCTGGCCAGGGAATTCTCTCAACCTGTAACCAACAACGCTTTCTGCTTTGCATTTCGACAGTCAAATCTCACAAACTTCATTCGTTTCAAATGCTTGTCAATCATCTGCCGACTCAAAATCTTTGTCATCAAATCTGCATTGTTCTTCGTTCCGTCCACTTTCTCTATGGTCAGCACCCCATCTCTTGTATGCTGCTGCAACCACAAAAATCTTGCCTGCACATGCTTTGTTTTGCCAACACCCACCCGGCATGCTATCGCACGAGCTGCCGTTGAATCGCACTTCATTGTCAATCCACATGGAATGCTCCATTCCTCCAACAAATGTTTCAAACAGGAAATCGCACCTTTGCAAATCCCATAATATTCAGCCTCTGCCGAACTCAAGGAAACAACGCTCTGCAAATTGCTCTTGGTCAACAAAAGATGTTGCCCTGCCATCACTGCAACACCTGTGGTAGAACGTCTTGTTTCCAAATCACACGCCCAATCACTGTCTGTGAATCCAATCAACTGGTATTGTTTCATGTATTGCATTCTGAAAATTCGTTTCCCGTAGGGATGTTTCACCAGATATCTTCCAAGCTTCTTCAATTTCTCAAAATGAAACACCTTTGGTTGCGACATCCCACGGGCCAAATTCTTTGCTGTATTGGCCAAGTCTGGCCTGTCCTGCGAGAGATAGGCCGTTCTCATGGTCAACGACCTAAACAACTTTGTGTCCTCAGCATTCAATGACTGTTTCTTCAGATGCTCAAAGTCAACCTCATTGACTTTCACTTCCGGGACATCAGATCCCTTCGATCCATGTAGGTTGAGCTGCTTCACAATCAACTCAGAGTACCTGGCATCTGCCTCGACTTCTAACTGAAACTCACCGTTCTCTCTTTTCGTCAGCTGCACCAACCGATTCAAGAAAAACATCTGCTTGTCATCTGTTGTGTTCAACCCTGATGTTGCTTCCCAACGAACCTTGTACTTTGAACGCAACACACTGTCCATCAATTGTAAGTCAACATCATTGGCAAGAACTAAAAAAATCATCACCGTGCACCATGCCCCACATGTTTCGTGTCTTGTGTTTGAATGTAGCTGGACATAGTTTTCCAA